GTGGAATTAATTTTACGAACACTGACGTCGAGCTGCGTATGCGCGCTCACAGGGATCAACAAATGTTTAAAAAGTGCCTGAGAAAAAACCGTTACGCGGAGCCACAAATACTTTGGAAAAGTATAAAAAACAACGGTTAGAGTATATTGCTGAATTTAGAAATATGTCTAAGCGACACAATGCGCTGTTCAAATATATGCTTTCCGGCCTTTAAAATAAAGGTTAAGAGCAAGTAAATTTGGACAGAAAGGTGGATCAACAAAGTACTCTTTTAATTTTGCTGGATCAAACAAGTTATGGAAAAGGACTATATATAATCGGAATCTCGGAAACGGCTCCAGCGATTTTCATGAAATTTAGTATGTGCGTAGATTCGGGGGCGAAAAATCGATCTAGCTAGGTTTCATTTTTAGAAAATGTCCTTTTATGCCTGTTTTCAGGGAATGAAAAATATCATTCGAATATGACGGTAAATTTCGCCGCAAAAAAATGTTATAATAGCTCGGTCGGTAATAGGGCGGCCCCAAAACAGTCGGCCGCGGTTCGTATCACGATCATTTACACACTTATGTTTTTTTACTTTTTTTTCTATACCAGATCATTTTCTTTATTTTTTTTTTTAATTTCCAAAATACATGATTTGCCTAAAAAACCGAGCAAAGCTCGGTCCTCCGGGTACTTGTAATTAAAAACGTATAAAACAATTTCGCCCGGTTTCTGTAAAACTGATCATCGTAGAAATTAACAAATCAGCTGTCAAATGGCTATTCAAATGTCATTTGTGTTGCCAAAAGGATGGTTAAACCCTTTGAATTGACCATTCAGATCATTCGGGAACTATCATATAGGTTTTCAACCCAAAACCTATAGAGTACTTCCGTTTGACCTAGAATGCTCATTCTTCAATTTTTTTCAGAGCTTTGTAAACTTCTGTTAAATTGTTTAATGGCGCAGTAATAACTTGGTGTTTACCAATGGATTTGAATACTTGCTTTTTGAAGTTATAGGTACTTCTTTAGGCTTTGTGACAAAATAATGAGAGTGAAATTTTAAGATGCACACGCATCAGTCTAATACAAATTCACACCTTTGAAGCTGCTCGCTAAACCGCTTATTTTTTTATAGATGGCAGCATATTATCAATCATATTCGCCCGTTACAGTCCTCAATAAGGAATATATAATTATGGCGCTTTCATAATTTAATTATTTTTATTCTTTATATCCTTTTCGAGTCTTTTTATTATTTTATTGTAATTATTTATTTGCATGCAATTAAAAACTATATTTTAATAATGCCAAAGAAGCCATGTTGTTATTTTGTACCCTTTTCTATTATTTTCGACTGCATGGCGGATCCAACAATTAAAAATTACAGTTTTTATACGAACCCAAATTGATTAACTGCTTCTAGATCTTTCTTTATGCATAAATTTGGATTAAACACCTTTATTCCTGCCATATTTGCCTTTTCTAGCTGTTGGGGCTAACTCCTAACACCGGTTATGATGGTATGATAATAGAATTTCTTAGAACACTACGACAATATTGATATAGTTAAAATGATACTGGTAATATGATATTTATGATAATATGATAATATGATTATTAGGTATGATATTTTGAGAACGCTTGGTTTTCTTGATGACCGAACGTGAACTGACTGCTTGTCGCGGTCAGCGAATCGCACACTAGCACTATCAAGAACCTGGGCCTGATCATGGACAGCACGATGAACTGGAGAGCACAAGTAACAGAAATCAGTCGTAAAGTGTTTGCTGCCTTACGAACTCTCTACCGTCTGAAGAATTTTCTTCCTATTAAAACCAAGCTTATGCCTGTTCAGATGCTTATTTTACCTTACTAATTGATTATGCAGATGTGTGTTACCCAGACTTAAACAAAGATCTTCTGAACAAGCTAGAGCGCCTTTACAATAATTGCATAAGATACATCTTTAATCTTAGAAAAATTTATTACATTTCCCAATATCGCACACAGCTTAATGGCTTAACGGCTGATTGCCACACCGAGCATTTGAAGCAATGCTTGGTGCATCCGAAACCGGCGCAGAAAAAAAATGTACAAAAAGACGTTAAAATTTTCGTCGGTGTGGCAATCAGCCGTTTAGCTCAGTGGCTAGAGCGTCAGGCCGCGAATGCCGAAGACGTGGGTTCGATTCCCACAGCGGCGACAATCTTTTCGTATTTTTTCTACATATTTATAACATATATAATGTGATAAATATTTTAAATCACTCGTAAGTATTTAATTACATTCGTTTGTACTTATCTCAAAAAGTGCGTAATTTTTTTTGCAACTCATTAATTTTACGCGCGATCATTCATAACTAACACGCACACAAGTTCGTTTGTGTGCGTGAACAGTACAATTTAGTTATTTATGAATGAGCACCACGTTGTCAACAAGTTCTGTTTTTTAGGGAATAGAATGTTAATTTTTTTGAAAAAAAAAAATTATTTCAATAAACGATAATACTACCGAGTCTGAACCTCCTGTGTAAATTTGGGCACCTTTAAAAAAGTCTTCCTGTATATGTATATTTATGTATTGTATATGGTATGTTACATAAATGGTTTTTATATAATATCTTGTATATTCTGGAACTTATATGATATGTAATGCATATACTATTATTTGTTTAAGTATCATAAATTCATATTGCAATTTTATTTATTGCACCTACCACGATTTCTCCTCAAGCCCGGGTTGACTGGTAGAGAATACCAATAGTCATTAAGTCCGCCCTTTGTAATGTTTTCAATAAAGAAGAAATAAATATTTTACCCGTCGACACTTTTCCACATCCAAATTCCAAACCAATATTTTCTACATTTTTTAGTATAGGTATGCTTTTAGCAATAACATACATCAACTTTCCTTTACTTTACGTCCAGTTTCTGTTACTTTCATATACCTCAGGTATATGAAAGTAACAGAAACTGGCTCATTTGCTCCGAGTGACACACATTTGGAGTGCAGTGAAATATGATCAAAGAGTACTTTTATATATCTGAAATGTAAAATTTTTGACATCTTTGATCTCATTAAAATATGTAGAAAAAAAAATCTTTGATCTCATTGTTAATGGTATTTCGAACTTTGTTTGCCTCGATATCTATATAAGTTGTCTAGTTGATCGTATTTACAGACCAGACATCAAATTAAGAGTGCCTTTCTTTAGTTGCACGAAAAGAAAGGCAATTTCTGCAATGTCCGTGACGGCCATCACTACATGTAGAATGTGTCTCCATTTTTCTCTCTCATATTAAATTAATCATTCTATGCAATCGAAGGTTTGAAACAATTTTATTTGTTACAAAGGGATTTGTTCGCTTTTCCTTTTGAAAAACATAATTTATGCGTTTATCATACTTCATGCTCAGCTAGTTCTGAAGTCCTATTCCAATTCATCTCCCATCAGATCTGATCAGAGGTTCCGTTTTACCCTTCGTGTACGCACCCAACGATATTTCTGCCAGTGCGTGGCGAGTCTTTCTTGATCCACCAGTACTGGGTAGATTAAAATGCATGAACTTTGCAAAAAATCATGGATACAATTTTTTGGACTGTTACAATGATCTTGAATACAAGTTCGAAATGAGTCAAGAACGCCAGAGGAAGCGGCGAGCCATAGCGACCTAAACCGCACTAGAAAGTATTTTAGTAGTCATGGTAGTGACGGAAAAAATGAGAAGATATATATACTAATATTATAAAACTGAGGAGTTTGTTTGTTTCAACTCACTAATCTCATGGACTACTGGTCCGATTTAAAAATATCTTGCACTGTTAGATAGCCCATTTATTGAGGAACGCTATAGGCTACATTTTTAAGCACGAATGTAGTACATGCGGGCGGAGTCGAGGGCGAAAAGCTAGTCAAAAATATATTTCTGTATTGTCGTTAGATGGACCCTCACAAAAACATAACTAGCACTTTTGGAATTTAAGAACTTTAGGAGATGTAAGCTTTCAAAAGTACAAGTTTTTGGTAACACTATTTTCAACACAGGAACACGTCAATGGATTTCACGTTGAATTCTATTTTGATTCGCCGGAAGTTTCTTCTTCTTAGTTAGGAGTTATTGTTAATTCGTCAGCAATGTAATATATTTAGGGAATGTAATAGTTCCTAAAAGATAATAGGCTATATATTCCTTCTCACGACATGAAAAAAATTGTTCAGCCTCTAATTTTAGATGCGACGGAAATTATCCTGTTTTAATAAACTCTTTATTATAAAGAGTGAATAAATTAATAATATTTTTACATATGTTCTTGTGTAGCCTCTAATTTTAGATGCGACGAAGATTCTGCTGTGTTCTAAACCAGCTGATTACCGGCGATAATAAGTTATTACTTGGGGATCCAAAGAAGCGAGTTATCTTTTTTTTAATCATATGCTCCAATCTGAAAATAAAATATATTTGCACTCCTGTGTTAAATACACATTATAATATACATAAACTCACAAGTATTTAACTTCGAGCAAAATATGGACAATAGTTGCGGGAGAAATACGAAGCTACCCGTACTTATTTTGATATCAGATTGATGTAAATTACAAAAGAAGCCATCTCCAAACAGAATTTAAAAAGTGAATGAAAGAGAGAAGAAATGAGAGCTCATAGATTTGAGTCCCACCTGTCTTATCTTTTCCATTTTCCCTTGGACATACGGACCGTCGCGCGTTGTACCCGACTGGCCTAACCATAGGTTAACCGGATGATAGAGAAAAAAAAGATGGCGTTTTGTATTATTATTTACTACCATCTGTGAAAAAAATGACAAATGTCAAAACATGTGAACTTTGTGAATGTGAAGTAACCGAATTCAAGAATTGGGACTGGGTTGTGGTTGAATGTGCTAAATTATACATAAAATATATTACTAATAGTAAATACTGAAAACTTACTAAGCTACTAGGATTGCTCAAAAACCATTAAATTGAAAAGTAGCTTAGATTATAAGTACAATATGCCGAAACTTGAAGAAAAACCAAGAATTTACTTGGAAGAGTACCGCTTAAAGGTTATATGCAAATGATATCCATTCAATTGAAAATATTTTAATTTAAATATTTGTTGTAATTAATATTATAAGTGTAACCGTGGTAGGGCCACGTAACAGTTTTCGCTGTTGCACAAATGGGCAGGTCCGTCCGGGTAAGTACCAAGACCTCGCAGAAGACTGGCGTGAAGTAGAAGTGTTATACTTGTGCGTTTCGTCTGGTGATTGAGGTGGGAGAGGCCCACTTTATAAAAAGATGGCAACGCATCTGAAACCCTACGGTTGTCGCAAATGTCAATGGGCGGCGGTTATCACTTAACATCAGGTGAACCGCAAGCTCGTTTGACACCTTCTTACATAAAAAACTTATTTTTATGTTGTATAATAAAATCTCATCTTTCTCGCCTATTTTTTTGTATATAATAATGCAATTAATTGATGGTTGTGTACTGTGTTTTTATCACCTATTAAATAAAATTAATGTGGAAAATACCTTCTATAGAATGCTGCAAATGATTATGGAATGGCAGATGAAAAGTGGAATTTTAAAAAATTTACCAAGAAATTCCGAATAGTCATTGTGAGAATGGATAATTTTGAAATGGAATTTGATTTGATTGGTATACAACCAGCCTTTGCCAATGCTTTTAGAAGATTGATGTTGAGTGAAGTTCCTAGTATGGCTATTGAAAAGGTTATGATAAGTAATAATACATCTATAATACAAGATGAAGTACTAGCCCACAGGTTAGGACTGATTCCTCTTAAAGCAGATCCCAGGTTATTTGAATATCGTCCTGAAGGTAAAGGCATTGCATTCATATTGTATTAGTCAATTCAGTTTTAGTTATGAATGTAGTTAAATTTTTCAATACCTTTCCAGATGCAACTGAGGGTACAGAGTTTGATACTCTGGAATTTTCTCTAAAGGTAAAATGCACTGCCAATAAATCACAGCCTAAGGATTCATATAGGATAGAGGATTTATATGAAAATCATAGCAGTAAGTTCTCTTTATATTTAACTAGCGACCTGCTCAGGCTTTGCATAGGTGCATATAAACCTTTTTCTTGAATCACTCTATCTCGTAAAAAAACCGCACCAAGATCTGTTACATAGTTTTAAAGATCTAAGCATACATAGGGACAGACAGACAGCGGGGCGACTTTGTTTTATATTATGTAGTGAAGCTCAAGATTTTCAAGTTTATAACTTCCACACTTTTGGAAAGTAATACTTCCAAGGGTGAAAATGAGATTTATTTCTTGAAAATAATTTGAGACAATATTTTTTTTCAGTTTATTCATCACAAATTAAATGGCACCCTATTGGCAACCAGGCATCTGTGCATAAGGAGGCAGATATAGGACCTGTACATGGTGACATATTGATATCTAAGATGAGGCCTGGTCATGAGTTAGACCTTCAATTGATTGCTGTAAAGGGTATTGGAAAAGATCATGCTAAATTTTCACCTGTTGGTTGGTATAATTTATGTGCTTTTAGAAATAATAAACTTATTGGCATTGACAACTATTTCGTATTTAATTAAGGATTTTGAAAGTAAAATTAAAATATTTCATAATTTTATTAGAATATGTTAACCTTGTTTAAAGCTTAAAGAACTACAATAGAGTATATTATTTATCTAAATAATTAAAATAAATGTATAATACATTTATTTTATACATTTATTAATCACTTGCATCCAATAAAATAAAATTTATACTGTTTTGTGCATAAGCATACACATTTTGATTAGTTTATACACATGTATTTGTTATTATTCAAGTATCATACAATGACATATATTTGGGATGACCAAAGTTTAAATTTCTTTGTAGCCACAGCTTCTTACCGTTTACTACCAGAGGTGATACTGACGCGTGAAGTGTGCGGTGGTCAGGCGTCAATACTACAGAGCTGCTTTTCACCAGGTGTTATTGGAATTGATTCTGAGGGAAAAGCATTTGTACGGGATGCGCGTTATGACACTTGTAGCAGAAATGTTTACAGATATGATGATATTAAAGATGCAGTCATATTGAGCAGAGTTCGAGATCATTTTATTTGTAAGTACCTTTACAAAAGCAAATAGTAATATGTATTTTGATATCTTAAATTATAAAAATAGAGACACTAATATCTGTAAAACTTTGTTAGAGTTATTATATGTCCTACACTGAAAGAATACCTAACTCATTTGCTGAAAATTGATGTTGTGTATCAAACAGATCTAATAACAAATACAGCAACAATGCAAAGTTCTAATTATATAAAATTCTTTTATCTTCAGCAAATTTGGCCTCCTTAGTTTTCCAGAATTAATGATTTTAATTTTAATTTGGGAATTCATCGAATTATTTCAAAATTGAAATTTAAACTTAATGGCTGGTACCTAGACGATGGTATGCTGGGAGGTAAAGTTGACGAGGTTTCGATTTAAATAGGTAATTCCAAATGTGAACTTTTCTTTTCCGAAAAGATTTCTTTTTCAGTAAAAATATTTTTGTCTCAAGATTTTAGCTCTATCATACTAGGTATTAATGTAGTCCGTTTCAAATACAGAGAGATACGTTTCAATCTTTAGAAAGTAATTTAGAGCGTGCCCATTTCCTAGGCGTCTCATCTAAAGAATCAAGTTATTGGCTTCACGCTTTACCATCAAGTAACTTGGGCACATTGCTTGACGATGATAGCCTACGCATTGCTGTAGGAATCTTTCTGGGTGCACCGATTTGTCAACCACACACGGTTTAACATTGATCCCTTGGGAGAGAGGCAAAGCCCTTGTTTGGGAGGGACGCCACTTATGTAGACACTTTGGCTGCCTCTCATCTAAGGGGTACTTATCGTACCTCGTACGTACATCTAAGGGGTTTGGGGTCTAAGGGCATCGGAGGCAGCTGAAGTAAGTAAATGGCGCAAATATGAGTCTTTATGTTTAGATTATGTATTTGTGCCATTTGCTGTTGAATCTTTAGGTCTGTGGGGTCCCCGCACATCGAATTTTTTTTAAAAGTTTATGTCCTAGCCTCAACGCCGCGCCGTGACAAGAGAGCTGGTTCTTTTCTCGCTCAAAGGTTAAGTATAATTATTCAGCGAGGAAATGCAGCTAGCGTTCTTGGCACCATGCCGCGTGCATTAGGTTTATTAGATAATATGTAATTTTAGATAAATAAATAAATATTATATAAAATGGTAAATATTATTCTGCAATTACAGTTTTTAAACTAAAAGTTCTTCAACGAGTTCGTTGAAATATTCAAGTCCATTTAATATTAAAAAAATGTACATTATTAACATTATATTTTACTTCATTATTTTCAGTTAATGTGGAGTCTGTGGGAGCCATGGCACCCAATATCATATTTATAGAAGCTGTTAAAATATTGAGAGATAAATGTAAATCACTATTGGATGAATTACATAATTTTTGAACTGAGCGGTTTCGTATAATTTTGAAACACTTCAAATGTAACTGTAGCAATATATAAATAAGGTTGTCCGACATTCACATAATCATCTACCATTCAATGTCACTGTTGCACATCACTATGGAGAGGTTTAACTTTTACTGATTGTTTGATCTAATATGTATGTTTATGTGTTTGCTAGTAAGATGAACAGTATGCATTAGTGTGTACCAATTTATTATATAAAAGGTTGTTTTTAAAATCAGTTGCTAATAAACCAACATACTATTTACACCATATTTCTGTTACCAATTTGTCCGTTCAAATAAAGTGAACCTTATTACCACATGATATGGTCGAACATCATCCGGATCGACAGATCGCGTTTATTACGACATTAATATCATTGAGCGCTAACAAAATGAAGGATCGATCGGCTAGTGCGAGAACAATAGAACTTGTTTACCTGAATACATTTTTACACGTGTAAAACAGTTTAAAAAAAGTATTAATAATATCATTGAGATATCGAGATGATTTATGTTTGGTTTCATAATAATATAAAGAAAAATATTAAAAATGACAAATACACTGGAACAAATATTGTCTGTATGGGGATATACAGCAGCATTATTAGAAACAAACAAGCTAATCTAAAGATATCTATATCCTAAGCAGCTTCTGACAAAAGGATATCTCGCAATAAGATTCCAACTAGTTGAAGAGTATTGGAATGCTTTTAAGACCGCACATCAAGACTGAGTTTCAAGAAATTGTGTCGTTTTTCGTTTTTAACGAAGATTATTTTGCTATCGAGGATTTGTACTTATGCATTCAAGTTAATCTAAGTGTTTTAATTTTATCGCTTACGAAGTCAACACCTGCAAATGTCATACACAATCAATAATCCTTTTGTTTATATCCAGTACATCCAATGGAGGATTAGTCAAACTACCGCGTATGCAACTCTCCCACTTTTCTGGTATTTATGAAGAATTGCCTGTATTTTAAGACTTGTATATATCTCTAGTGCTCTCTTTTACCTCTAGTACCTCTTTACTCAGCAAGGTGCAGAAGCTTGATTGTTGACGGTGGTAGAGCCACGCAGCGGCCTCTGCTGTTGCACGAATGGGCAGGCTCGTCCGGGTAAGTACCACGATCTCAGAAAAGACCGGCGTATGCTTTCGCGTTTCGTCTGGTGAATAAGGTGGCCGGAGCCCAATTTTCAAGAGGTTGTCAACGCATCTGGAAACCTCGGGTATAGCAGATGTCCATGGGCGGCGGTATTCATTTTACATCAGGTGAACCGTCTGCTCGTTTGGCAACTTTTAAAATAAAATAAAAATATTTAAATAGTAACCATGGCGGTGAAGCGGAGATATTGAAGCATATGCAAGTTACCGAAGATCACCATGAACATTCGTGGACAGTGCTTAAATCTCGCTACGGAAATAAGCGCATCATAGTCAACTCTCTCATGAAAAGATTATTTACGCAGAGGAAAGTACCCGCACAAACTGCAAATCACATCAAGGATTGATACTTATTTCTACAAAATGCGTTAATAGTTTGATGAACCTCAAAATTTCGACTGACTCTTGGGATTCATTAATTGTTTTTGTTGTCGTGCAGAAACTGGACCTAGAGACACACCGAATGTGAGCAGTTTGCATATCGAGAAAATTCCGACGAGTTACCTTCCTGGCAGGATATCCGTAAGTTCCTCTATTCGAAATACCGTACCTTGTAACTGATTGCACCTCCACGAACATCAAGGGTTTGTCTCAGCGCTGATATTCAGTAGACGCACCGGCAGATCGTAGTCACAGAAGAGGATAGAAATTTAACACGAATACCGTGGAGAAATGGACCAGAAGGACCTGTACAAGACTATCGACTGAAGAAGGTGATGTTTGGAACTGCTTCTGCTCCTTATTTAGCAGTGAGAATCTTAAATCAAATTGCAGAAGATGAATGACAATCACTCATCGATGTGAGGTCTGTTAAGGTCATCAAAGAAGACTTCTACATGGATGATTTTATGTCAGGCAAGGACACATTGCAAGAAACAATTATAATAGCGAAAGAAATAGGTTCACTGTTGAAGACGGGAAGTTTTAGTTTACTAATATTGTGTTGAAACAACGCCGACTTTTCGAAGCATTTTGAACCCTTTGAAAGATGTTCTCAAGTAATTATAAGGCAGTTGAAGTCGAAGGTTCCGGCGATTTGGACCAAGTGCGGGTACCAGATAGTATCTGCTTTTGTAATTTATCTATACCACCAATTTTTTGTATATGTGCACTTTGTAATCCGGGGTTAAACATATAATCACAAGAAGGGGGTATTTCTAACACCTAAGCTCGCTTACCGCAAATTATATATGTTTAATTTTGTCTACACGTGTCTGAATTACTTTCGGTACAGTAGGTTCTTTTACAGAAACGCTCAAATCTACAAAACTACCCGCCTCTATTACTGGCGGACGGAAAAACTGTTCGTCAGTCGTTGTCGATTTTTGAATGGATGTTGAAGCTAGATTGGAACACTTTATTAATAGGTTGTTGTGGTACCTGTAAGTGTGAGGGCGGTGCCGCCGGTTCACGACCAGTAATAGCATAATTCGAAGCTAAAATACAATTCACATGACTCACCTTTTATCCAGATCGCGCGACTAGTCACGCTTTCGGAGTTTCCTTGGTGGTTCCTCGTCTCTATATTCCGACGAATCCTTGAAATATTTTCTTTAGGCGCGATAACCTCGTCACTCATTATTAAGCGTTTGAGGTATTAAGAAACGGAAGACTAAAAACGCTTGTTTGCAATTAACCAACTTTCTACTTTAAGTCTCAAAAGTTGATTATAACAACGAATAAAAGTATTAAAGTTTAACTTTTTACGACTGCACTGGTTTAAAAACGATGCAACAATGACAAAATACGGCGGCTTGTCTTTGCCTGTGAGTTAGTTCCAGAAAGGAGTAAGGAGTTTTTTGGAAAAAAATTGAAGTAATTTGTATTTGTATGTATTTAAATATAGCCTTAACTCACCTCCCCTACCCTGAAGAGCCCTACCATATCTAAAATAACAATTTTGGCTATCATGAAACGATTTAATATTTGATCTAATTGTTTGGTTGGCTCCCTCTATTTTACAAGCCAAGATACTCATCCAATATATGTGGCTAAAAGGGATTTCCTGGGATGAAGACGTAAACTAAACAACTGCTGAAAAATTGGTAATATTCAGAGAAAGTTTTAATATATCATATAATAATCACTTACCTGAAGTTAAGATACATAGGTGGCTGCTACAATTGAAGGTGTAATAAAAAATATTAATCGTCAAATTTTACATAAAAAAATATACAGCGTGTCGTTACCGTCGCGACAATAAATGAACACACGTCTAACGCTACTTGCCAATAATAATAAAAAATATTAACGTTAAAAAATCCATAATCAAAAAAAAATATTTTTCAAACAAACTAATTAAGTAAAAAAGAAACAAAGTTTGTAACTCCTATCCTATACAACTACAAGTTGTAGTCTACAACTGACTGATACATACATTCAGAGACTTTTTCATTTGTTACCACAGCGTCGCATTACAAGCCTCTCCTAACAGTATGTTTCTCGTCTCGTTTAAATTCATTCAACCCATTCATATGCTATGTGACCTTTACAAATGAACTTTACGTTACAGTTTTATACGTAAGGATGTTCTAAAATTATTTGTTTTGAGAAATTTAATAACTGTAAATATTGCTGTTTAAAAAATGTAAATGTTTAATACAATTTTAAAAAGTTATCCTCTATATGTGTGTTCATTTATTGTTGCGATTGTAAAGACACGCTGTATATAGGTTCGGAAAACAGTTTCTATTACGAATATACAAAATATTATAATGTCTCGAGAAACAAGACTGAGTATAACAATCTCTTTTTATAAAATAAAGGAAGTAACGCAATGTACCCAATTACTAAGAATGCTGAGTTGAACTCTCCATAGAGAGTGGGGTTAAAGTTGTAAAACGCATTTAAATATTTACGCAGATAAATTTTAAGCCCGATTTATAGTGGTCAAGTGTTTTTTTTCTTTTCTTTTTTTGTGTGCAAAAGTGACAAACCAGCTGGCGGTTCACTTGATGTTAAGTAATAACCGCCAACCATAGACATTTGCAACACCCGTATGGTTGCAAATATGTTGCTAACTTAAAATAAATTTGGCCCCGGCTACCTCACTCATCAGACGAAACGCAGAAGAGTAACACTTCTACTTTACGCCGGTCTTCTGTGAGGTCGTGGTAATTACTCGGACGGACCTGCCCATTTCTGCAACAGCAAAAACTGTTGCGTTGCCCTACCACAGAAATGTAGACAAGTACAATGATTACAGTTGTGTAAACCGTCGGTCAGCAACTAGACCCAAATAGAATCACTTTCTATTTTTTAACCGACTTCAAAATTCGAATTACTTTGTGCTGTTTCTTTTTTCTTTTTAGTTTCCTTTTTGAAATCTGTTTTTTTTTTTTGTTAAAAATTATTTTTTGGTGCAAGTCCACCCCTCGCGCGGCAGCTTTAACTAACGCCGGACATTTGACTCTTCACTTGTCGTAGTGTAAACAGTCAAATTAGTACAGTGGCCGGCAACAGGAAACAAAATTGCACGTATTGCTCGTCCATTTCAACAGAGAAATGCCACTGTTAAAATATTTCTCGTGTTAAAAAATTATAAGAAAATTTTTCAAAACATTAGACATTACAATTTCAGACCAACATTTTCACGCAACCTTCGCTGTTTATTATTTCATCCATGCATATAAATCTTTTGCGTTATTTATCACTTTTTAATAATATCATTTTACTAGGGGATTTTAGGGGTTTTTTGACATAAGCAAACACTGGTAACACTCACGGATGCCAACTTAAGGAGTTTTCTTCCTAGATATATGAAGAAAAATTAAAAAAAAAAAAATTGTTCCGCCATAAATTATTGTGAATATACGTTTACTCATAATATATTAAATTCATTTAATAAGTAATATAAAATACCAAAATAAGGTGAAAAAATTGTTATCGGATCTGTTCAAAAAAATGCAGTTAAGTGGGGAAAAGATAATGAATTTAAAGTTATCTTATTATGAAAAATGATTATAACGTCACAATACAATAATTTAATTTGTATAAATATATTTTTCAAGACAATGAACAATGTTCAACGTCAAGTATTTTAATCAAATTAATTTTTGAATAAAACATAATAAGATAATTATTCTACTTTGTTAGATAATTTAAAAAAAGGTGACTTTTCATTTAGGAAGTTTTTTTTTGAAAACAGGTTTTTGAATTTCTTTACCAGTTTTTTTTTCAGGAGTTGGTAACACACTAACACTGGCAACTACAAACTAGATGTCATGGCATAGCATTCATATATTCGTACAACTACACAACATACCTATGTACCATACTAGATAGTAGATACACTGAAACAGATATCTTTCAGTTGACAATTGATCAAAATACTAGGCAATTTGTTGTAGTTATAGTGATTTAAGGATTGTTTTTATTGGAATAAAGCTTAAATACACAAAGCAACAAAGTTAAAGATGGGAAGTTTGGACAGAGGGGTTTTAACTGGATTTATTTGTCGCTTGTGTTCTGAAATGCACCGAGTAGTATTACACATCTATGGGCAAGAAGGTATCCGTTTATGTATATCCGAAAAGATTAATAGATACCTTTCTATAAATGTAAGTTCCGGGTCCTAATAGTACTGTAACTAAATTATTGTTAAACATAATCACGTAGTACATATTTTTTGTCTTAGGTGTCGCCATCAGATCCATTGCCCAAAACTATCTGCAATAACTGTTTGGAACGTCTTGAAAATCAACACAGGTTGGTGATGCGTATCGAACAAGCGGCTAATATGCTGAAAGGACACCGAAGACATTCTGGTCATGGCTGCCATGTCAGTCTTTGTGTACCATGCAATGTTTACCAAAATAAATAGTCATTAGAAAGCTTATTCTAGGTTCTTATTTATATGTTTTAATGAAGAACGTACAAGATATATAAAAATAAAATCTTTGCAAGTAAAAAAGCCTTCCTAGCAAAATTATAACTACTATCCTGTAGTCAATGTCTTAACCAAGCAAACATCACCTATATTGTAATATTATCTTATTGCAAAAATTAAGGAAATGATATTGCAAAGTGACATTTATCATATGACTTTTTTTATAGGCAAAGGTGTTTAATATCGACGAGCGATATTGATTCAGCATTGTCAGTGTTTTTATTTTAAGATGGAATCATGTATGCAAATTTACTATGGTAAATGTTCAGGTATTTTTTTATAACCATCCAGAAATAGAAGCAGAATTTACATATTGACAACAACAAAATGGCAGATTCCTGTAGTGAAAATTACACGATTTCAGTTTCTTTTTTTCGAAAACTGAGTGACTGGAGATGATTTCTGCTTGTTGATTAATTAGTGATTTTCTCTTTAAAATTAATCGTTAAAATTTCTTTTAAATGCCATTTGCGCTTGTCAATGTTCTGAACATTTGCCATTACTGGTATAGTGTAAAATAATATTGTTGATATATTTATGTAAAACCCAATAGTATTTATAATTACATCACAAACAAGTTATGTAATTTTAGCTGAGTCATATGATTATAAAATTGTAATCCAACTTTAATATGCCTACATTATAAAGAAAAATGAATTCTTCTTTTAAGAAAAATAAAAAATTTAATTTAAAATTGAATTCAATTTGATTGTATATAGTTACTAGCTACTACTAGATCCGGCAAACGTTGTTCTGTGGAATTTCGTAAAATCCATTCCAATTCTTAGCTGACCTGTACTCGGCGAATGGAATATTCCTACCAAATTATGGAATATTACGACCAAATTTCAAGTCTCTACGCCTTATGGTTCCTGACATATTGTGATGAGTCAATTATCGCTAGAAATCTCTTATATATCGTGTCATCAACCGCAAAAATAAATGAACACATGTCTAACCCTACATGCCAAAAATCATAAAAAAATATAAAACATTAAACAAATCCATAATTAAAAAAATATATTTTACAAACAAACTAAATAAAAAAGAAACAAAATTTGTAACATCCTACACAACTACAACTGAATGATTCATAAATTCAGAGATGTTTTCATTTGTTGCCACAATGTCGCATTAAAAGTCTCTCCTTCTAACAGTATGTTTTATCTCTTTTAAATTCATTCAACCCATTCATATGCTTTGTGACCTTTACAAATGAACTTTACAGTTTTATACATAAGGTAATTATATAAATAATAAATTAAAATAATTATAAACATAAGTTCTAAAAATTGTTTTGTAAAATTTTGTAACTGTAAATATTGATGTTGAAAGCAAGGATGAGCAACGCGCGGCCCCTTTAACATGTTTATGCGGCCCCTCAAGCATTTCTAAAATTGAATTTATTTTATCGAATTTCTCCCATCAATATATTGTTATAAAATTAATTATAATAAAATGTTACGTACTGAACCGAAATATTTTTTGTTCGTTTTTCTGTTCTTTTCTTGTTTGTTTTTACCTTGCATTAAAATTTGTATATGACATCTTTACTTTTTTTTAATTTTATATTTTTTATTCTAATATTTATTATAAATAAAGTTTCGTAAATTATTATGTGCGGCCCGCCAAAAAAAATTGAAATTTAAATTGGCCCATTGATTAAAAAGGTTGCTCACCCCTGGTTTAAAGAATTTAAATGCTTGATAAAATTTTAAAATGTTATTGTCTATATGTGTGTTCATTTATTGTCGCGGTTGTAATGACACGTTGTATATAGATTAAAACAGATGCTCACTTTTATAAAATTCATAAAAATCCCAACAGTTATGATCATGATAGGATGGTGAATGTTATTTTACACCAAAATTCTCTGAATTACGAGTGATGTATATCCATAGTTTGGATTTAGTAGACTATGAAATGTAATCAATTTTAACTTACATTAGTATTTTACTTAATGTTAGTCTAATGATAATTTTTTAATTATATATAAGGTTCATCAATATACTTATATTAGTATACATATATAGATAGTTTGTTATAACATAAAGAAATGAATGTTTGTCTGTTCTTTTCTTTAAATTGTAATTTTTTTAAATATATAAAAAAACGTAAGAGCTGCCGGATTTGAACCTGCGTCTTCTGGTTTCGCGCCCAACCGAATACCATCTAAGCCATAGATAAGACATATATACTGAAATAACAGCCGATAACTTTACAGAGCGAAAATTTTGACATCTATTTACATTCGTTCTATCGAATTTTTAGCAATTCTAGGCGTGATCTCGTGTCCATCATTTACACCTTACAAATAACATTCAACGATGAATATTTGTATTAACCGTGTCGCCATTGCTCTTAAATCTTTAAGATTAATTTTTACTTTTAGTTTTAGTTTCTGCATTCAAGATGAAACATTAAATTGCTCTTACCTTATCCGTTTGCCACATTAGTGATCTCATAAAGTTGATATTCAGTTGTTATCAAGTTGATATTCAGTTGATATAAAGTTGATATTAAGACTCATATTTGCGCCATTTACTTACTTCAGCTGCCTCCGATGCCGCCCCGGCCGGACCGAAGTACCCCTTAGATGTAAGGCAGCCAAAGTGTCTACACTAGTGGCGGCCCAAACAAGGGCTTTGCATCTCTGCCAAGGGATCAATGTTAAACCGTTGGGTCCCTTACCATCGTCGCGAAAAATGCCACGGGGCTCTAAAATAGATGAAACATTGATGGAAACAAGAGCCCTACGGATGATGTCGTTCAGGGAACCGTGGCGGGAAAAGCAGCCAGCACTTTTTCGACAAAGTGAAACTAGATGAAACTGTACATGATGTGACAAATTCACACTAAAATGCACAAATTATCGGTTATGGTTATTTATTAGATAAATTCTGACAGACTACTAAATTAAGAATTAATTATTAATTAAAGAAGCCAACACTAGGCAGGTATGTTGGTTTACTTTAATACTTCACATATTTGGAGACATGCACGTTTCATTAAACGATAAGCAGCTGCTGCTACTGTATATGGATGCACATATTTCTATAGCATAAGTACAGTTTTTTAAATAGTAATTAAACATTATTATTAAGTAATATTACCCCTATAATTCTCTTCAAAACTGATTTTCTTGAAAATCTTCAATATTTCTAATACAATATAATGTATCTGCTTTGCATGTTGTGCTTGCTACATATAAATTATTACTACTTATACTAATAATAATATAATAATATTTACTACAATATATGCCACAAACTCGTATGTACATAATAGCAATCACTATATTGTATTTTTGCTTTTATATATTTTTGACCTTAAAATTATTACGTGTAATTTGTGTATCAAAAGGTGTGTTTTAAAATAAATTTGAGTATTATCGAATATAATATGTATAGTGTTGTCATACTATGATAAATATCCATATAAGTTGTTGGCGGTATACATCAATATTATTGTTAATTTCAAAAAGCACACAATTACCAAGATATCCATTTTTAAAATTACATAAAAAGTAAACTAACATCCAATAAGAAGAGCAATGGGCCTCCATATTGTCCACCAATGAGTGTAGTGAACGTTTAAATAGTGCAGGCGGTCGCATAAGTCTACCCTCGACGTAGGGAAGAATATGCTCAAAGTTTCATTGAGGAGCGTGTTCTTTTTGGAGGCGGTTCTTGTATGATATGGGGTGGCATTTCGTTGATCGGGCGAACGGAACATGAGTTCATCGACATTGTTCGTCAAAACGGTAGAAGACGAGGTTTGACGGCATAACCTTATAAAACAGGTTTTAGAAGCTCACGTGGTACCTCTACATGAAATTAGTAGGCGAATATTTTACTGCTTTGCAAGATAATGCCCGACCCTAGGCCGCTGCACAAGTTCGACAATCTTACGAAGAGGTTTCGCACCATGAATTGGCCCGTACGCAGCCCGGATCTTAATCCACATTGAGTATGATTGAACATTTAAAAAAGCTGTATATGCGAGAAATCCTGTACCCACAAGAGTGGCAGCACTAAGAACAACGATTTTACAATAATGACTTCGTGGCGCAGTTGCTAAAGTATTGGCTACGGCGTCGGGGGTCGTGGGTTCGATTCCCACACGGGACAACTATTTGTGTGACCCACAGATAGTTGTTTCGCATCTGGGTGTTTGTCCGCGTGAAATTTATGTTTGTAAAACGTCCTTACAACACAGGATAATATTATCCTAAAGTAAGGGCAGTGTTTTAACACATTAAAATAAAAAAAAAAAAAAAAAAATGGGACAATATTCCGCGAGACCTTTTAATAATCCTAATCAGATCTATGCGGAACCCATAAGAATCTGTAATAAGGGCACGGAGGCAATACACCTTATTAAAAGCAAAGAAAAAACCTGTGCTTCAACTTTTTTTATTGTAAAATCCAATTTCTCAACAACCAACAATTTTTATTACATATAACGTTTTTCTTAAAAAAAAAATGAATGGTCCTGTCCAGTATATAACATACACTTAAGAATATGATACTACGCTGTTATGAACTGAACCAACCAAACGATAGGTTTCAATTTAAATTTGCATAAAAAGTTTGAATACCTGGTAAAAATGTTTATTTCAAAGGCGTCTTAAACATTGATGCAGTTTAAGAGTCTGTCATTGTAGTTTCATCCAATTCAACTGAAACTATTATATAGCATTTTATCTCACAAATCTTAAATGTGGCTTTTAATTTGATATAACTTTTATTTATGAACGGATTTAAATAAAACACTACATGTTCTTCATTTAGCTTACTACATTGCATTAGTGAAACAAACATGCATTAGTGCACAAACACGCACTGACAAACAGATAAACAGACAAAAATTTTAAAAATTATTCTTTCATTAACAAATAACATTGTTTCTCTAATATCTTCCATGTACAGACAAGGTTCTTACATTTTCATTATATGTATATATAGATTAAATAAAGGTGTATTACTTGCACGTAAATAAATTCAAAGAATAAGTTTCGTCACTACATAGTATAAAACAAAGTCGTCCCGCTGTCTGTCTGTCCCACAGAACACTTTTACTCAAAGAGTGGTCTGTCCCTATGTATGCTTAGATCTTTAAAACTATGCGGATCAACGGATAAACGGATCTTGATGCGGTTTTTTTACTAGATAAAGTGATTCACGAGGAAGGTGTATTTGTATAATAGATTGCACCCGTGCCGAGGCGAGTCGCTAGTAATAGTTAAATCTCTTGCAAAATGTTTCTAGTTTATATCTAATTAAAGTTTATATAAAATCTCCATTATTTTTAAATTTGTAAGGGTTTCTAATCAACGGAATTTGTTTCATTATTTCTAATGAAATAAAGTGAAAAATTAATATATGAATATATTATTTATTGCACATTCTCACTTGCCAGCAGTTTTTCGATTCTATAATAATTCTTAAAAACTGCAATCCTGAGATCATTAATTTTGTCCAGTTTGTCTTCAATATCTGCATCCAGTTGCTTTATTTTTGCTTGAAGCGGGTGTAGAAATCCTGCGTGAGCGCTAAAATAGAATTTGATTATCTTACTATATTGTAAAACAAAATAAAATTGAAACTATGCTATTAATTTCCTTGACCCATGCATAACCAACGGTTGTTATACGTTGCAGGCTCGTCCGGAGAAGTACCACGACCTCTTAGAAGGCAGGACTCCGGAGCTTAGTCGAAGTATTACACTTACGTCCACTTTTCATCATATGAGTGAGGTAATCGGGACCCATCTCTTTAATGGTTGGCAACTCATCTGCAACCCACCAGGTGTTGAAGATATTCATAGGAATCATAGGTGGCGATATTCATTAAGCTCATATCGAACATCAGACGAAAGTTTCATATAAAATTAAAACTATATATTTACTAATATCATGCACTATATAAAAGTAATTGATTCTGTTCTTATAATTCTATAATTATGGTGAAGTACTTATATAATGTATTTAGGATAAATTCGAAAATATCTACGTGGCCATACTACTACATAAAAGCTACCTAATAGTAAATAAATTAAGTCATAAGTGTATAATAAATCAAACGCACTTTCGGAGAATTGCAGCGAAAATCTAATATATAAAATTCTCGTGTCACGGTGTTTGTAATTGAACTCCTCCGAAACGGCGCGACCGATTTTCGTGAAATTTTGTGTGCATATCGGCCAGGGTGGAGAATCGGACAACATCAATTTTTCATCCCCCTAAATGTTAAGGGTGGTCCACCCCAAACTTTTTTCTACCCTACAAATAATTTATATGGCAAAACGACGTTTGCCGGGTCAGCTAGTATCAGCTAGCACCAAGAGTTATATTAAATCTGCTTAGGTAAACTCGCAAAAACTGGAGATTATAATTTATAGATGTCCCAATAAAAAACAATAACAAATTTTATGGAATTTTTTAATGTGAATTGAACGTGAATTTTCCTGTGAGAGTATGTGCGCGTGTTTGCGGATTATTGTCCAACGTCGATAATTTTATCTACATTCCTTACTGGTGCTTGCTAGCGTGCCTACCCCAAGAAAGCTGTTGTAAAGCTGGAGTTTATTACTATAAACATATTAATGTTAAATACAACATATTAATGTTAAATAGCTGGAGTTTATTACTATAAACATATTAATGTTTATAGTAATAAACTCCAGCTTTACAAACAGCAACTCATTCCTGTATAAATTATCCCGCTACAAGACCCTGCTATAAATACTCATAACTTATTTTGTTATCTGGCAAGTAAGCCAGAGTTAAAGCAGAAGAAGTAAACGCTTATATCAAGTAACGTGTCAGTTTTCAAAATACCCCCTTATTACTGATCACCCGATTTCTTCGGTCTACGGTCCTTAACATTATATAGGAAGACTATTATTTTGTCTCAAATGCGAAAGTTTACGTGCATAAACTTTCGCATTTGAGAAAATTAAAATTAGAAATTTCTTTTTTAGTAAGAAGATTCGACGTATAGAAAAAAATACACAAGTAACAATTCAATTATAGTTTTAAAAATAAAGTTTCTTGGACAGGACAAATGGCATTAATGAATCAATGAGTAAAGTAAAAATGTATATAGATACCTAGGTAAGCTAATCTAAGATGTGTCTCGGGTATAAAAAATAGTAAAATCGCCTGACTCTGAAATGTGAAGAACGAAATGGTCTTCCCACTAAAACTGTCACGGAAGTAATGTGATATGTTTTTAAACCAAACATAAACTATAACAAATTACATTTTCTGCTTGGACAGCTCTTCAGCAGTTTCTTCATATTTCCTTGTCCACTCTTGTAGCTCCTGGCGCATTACTTCGACATCTTCTTGAATGTGATCGATCAACTTCCCGAGAGGATTACTAATACGCGACAGAGCTTGCACATTGAACCTCATTTGTTCGATTTCTTGGTTCACAACGTCTCTAGCCTTTTGCACTCCAAATTGCCATTCCTACATAAAATCAAACTTGTAAACGTGGTAAATTTTCAAACCAGTCTTCTACGAGGCTGCGGCAAGGATAGGCGCTGTTTACGATATAAAACGTTTATTTTTTAATACGTTACACCGCGTTGCGTCCCCAGACGAGCGAACCCATTCAAGCAACACCAAAAGATGATTCGCTGATTGGTTAGCATACACATTATACATTCCCTACTTGGAATCACCGGTTGTGATAGGTAGTCTTCTAAACAGACTTTCGGGGCCCACGTTTGCATTATTGGCAATGCATTTGCAGTAATCACTGAACATCAGATCAACCGTCTAATTGCTTGAAAAGTTTGTTGTCTCAAAATTTCCGTGATATATCAAATTATAAATATGTATATCATAAATTCTTTGGAAAGGCATCTTAAGGCTCCTGTTTTGGTTGACGTTCAATTTCCAATTACTCCATAAGCAATGAGAGGACCAACTACTTCCGATGACACTCAGCATGTGTGCCATTATGAAAAAAAATAGAATCTAAAACAGTACCAAAATCTTGATTAATCTTAGCAGTATCAAGAGGTTTAAAAACAGTTTCTTTCAACCAATGTCGACAAGAAACCCCACACAGCCTTATAACAAAAGGGATATTCTGAAGTCCTCATGTGTACGGTTTAGTTGTGTTACAAAGTATGTCTATACAAGTGTTATAGCGCAAAAACACTTTTACGCTTGTTCAATCAATGCCCCAGAAAGACGAATACAACAAAAAGTTCCAGGAACCATGTCAAATTTTTTAGTCTTGAAAAGAAATAGACTTACAATTTCAGTCTTCCCTGTAACTTGTGAAAACTCTTTTTGAGAATCTAATATTTGTTGCACTAAATGACCATGCAGATCTGAAGACAAATTCATTTTTTCTTCATTTTGTAGCAAGGAATCTACTTGATTATCCACAATCACTATACTGCTGTCTTCTTCCTATGTAGTTAGGAAATGATTTTTATTTTAATTACATAAAAAAACAATAGATATTAAATGCAAATGAACAAACCTCTTCTGTTACTGTGTTTTCGGATATTATGTTTACTTTATGTACAATGAGAGTTTCATGGTTTCCAGAGTCATGTTTATCTTTAACTCTTGGTGCACCTGGTCTAGACGAGGGTGGCCTTACACTTTGAGGTCTTTTTTCAACTATTTTTGTATTATTTAATTCCAAAGACATTGTACTTGATGGATTTGAAATCTCATGATTCTTTTGATTTGTATTATCAGTATTAATTACTTTTCTTTCAGTGATTTTACCTTTTTCTGGGTCAACTGAAATATTCTCAAGACCTTTATATTGATTCTGCTCATTATTTTTTTCGACATCCATATTTTCTAAAATGGGGTTTTCAGATAAAGTAGTTTTGAGTTCCACATCCTCCACAAAATCAATTTTCTCATCATGTTCACTGTTAGTTTTTTGTACCTGCGACATTTCCTCATCATTTACAAGGGCTTCAGTATAATTTTCTTCATTTATTTCAATATTCACAGTAGTAGAGCTATCTACATTTTTAGGTTTTTCGTTTTTTTCCTTTAAATCATTACTGTGAGACATATTTGATAAAGTCTTCTGCTTAATTTTTCCATTCAATTGAGATTTCTGTGGGTTTCGTTGATTTTTACTCAGACTTTCCTTCACATTTGTTGTACTAAGAATCTTTTTAGGTGGACTATTATCCTTAATTTTTGTGGCATCCTTTACTTGTAACTTGGAACTTGTCTTTTCATTTTTACTAGTGGGTAATCTATCAGCACCTTTTGTTTCTTCAGCATTTCTTTTGATATCTTGATTTTTCTTAAGACCTTTTACAGCATCTTTATTTTTTTTATCATGTAAAGGTTGAGACTTAAAATTTTCTTTGAATTTTTTTACAGCTTCATGTGACGATATTTTTTTTTCTAAAGCTTGGCCAAGACATTGAAGTAATTCATTAGTTTTTGCTGGTTCTTGGCCAGCAATTATTTTTGAAGGTTTTACTGCCAATGTTTTCCCAGTGGCAAGACCTGCAAACATTGTCATAGATAATATTAAAAAAAAGAAACAGCTGGAAAGAGAAACAATGAATTAATTAAAATGATTAATTCATTCATTGTTTATTCATATATTATATTATTAGTTCATATATTATTATAATTTATCTCAAAAAATATTTTTATCTAGCATTGTTACAAAAATATCTTGGTGATTAAAATAAAGTTCATTTGCTTTGGTTCAAAAGGTTAAGGATTATTATTATTACCAATAAGTTGCCTTTTTTTTAAACTATCCTCAGTGTAACTAATGTATCACAGATTTAACTTTGAAGATTTCATTAGTTACTTTTTGGGGCTTTGGTCATTTTTGTCTTCCCTGTTAGAGTTAAAGATAAAAGGCTTATATAACTATCAAAGTGTGAAAAGTTTACTCTCAACCTCTTTAATTTCTTCAAATTTGGGGTAACATTAAAATGTTAGACAATAAGTCACTTACCTAACACTGTTATCACCTTATTCAGAAAATTAATTTTACTTTCTCTATCTTTTACATTATCAGATGTTAATTCTTCCGCCTCAAAAAGTCCTTCGAAAAATCCAGTGCTTTTCAGTACCTAATATTAGATTAAATTATGTAAGACCGGTTACTTATTTTATTTTCTGAAAAGGAAACTTGGGAAATATTAAATACGTACCGCAGTTATGATATCATGTAAAAACCTAAATGGTGGTTTCCTTAATAATTTTTCGGTTAGGGGAGGTCGTTTTACAAATCTTCCCAGGGATAATTGCGTTGCCTTTATAGTGTCTACGTCTATTTCTTCTTCCATGGTACATTCTCCATAAATGCCTTATATTTTCCGTAAACTATAAAAAATTAACACCTCATAAAGAATAGTTTTAAATTATTGTTTATAAGGAAAAGTTTTAATAAATTTGTGTTTAAAGTAAGATTCAAAACAGATGTGTTGTCAACAGTTGCTATGACAACCAATAATGCCGATTTAATCGTGTACAATCCCTACGCAACAACAACAATCCTTGTAAATATAAATTTGGAATGTTAGTTTAAAATAAATTCAAAATGTTTAAGTTGAAATAAATAGTTTTCTTATCAGTCCTTAAGTGTCTTTTTGGCTTAAAAATGATCCCATCAGCCACATCTTCCATTCAAGAGGCGGTTCGTAGATAGGGTGCCCTCTACTCGGAATCGAAAGGAGCGATTCAACAGGAAGACCCGGATGTTCGAACGGAGTGCGAATGTGTTCAATTATAACGCCTGACGGAACACATTCTGGAGAATGTGTTCCGTCAGGCGTTATAATTGGTCGGGACAGGAGTGTCTAGCTCGAAAGCCGAATTTTTCAATTGCACTAGGCCGTTTGAAAAAACATACTGTGTATCTTATATCTTGATTAAAGCTTCATCTGACGCAAAACCGGTGGGCTAGCCAGAACCCACGGGTTTGGGCCCTCCGCTGTGGGTAGGGCCGCGCATGTGCTCATGCGTGCGTTTAACTATGGTGTGTCATCTAAGGACCATCGAGGTCGCGGTTCGGAGCGAAAACCCGATGGCCGTCGACTGCACAATTAACTAATCGGTGGCTGGGAGCGGTGAGAACCGCCCTGGAACGCGGGTGTACCTTGTGTACGCGTGTATAGGTCTCGCCGTGCTCGGAGGCGAGGGCAAACTAGTATGTTTGTTGTTGCACTAACTGTGGGGGTAGTGGTATCCGGTGGAACCTCCGACGGTGGGTCCGGCGTATCTAAGTCCCCTTCCTCGACGGGGACGATGAGGACGTTTCGCGGGCGACACTGTTGACGTTCGCGTTTGTGTCGGGTAGGTAATTTGCTGTGCTTACCACCAGAGGGTTGGGGTGATGTTCGGCTCTATCGAAAAGCCGTTTGGTCAGTTTATGAAATATTCGCGAATCGTCGGGAGTCTGCAATCGCTGTGTAGGTCGACGTTGCGTTGGTACCACTGCGCACCGGTTGCGCGGCAGATGAACATATTTTATATTATTTGCAACTTGTACAAGCGAGTAGGGTGCGTGTGGGCGAAGGTCATACATGCGTAGGGCATAATAGGTCGTACGCAGGTCTTATATAATAATAATTTGTGCCTTAAGGGCATTTTACTTTTAGCGTTAGTTAAATTGTGTAGCCGGCCGGCGAAGAACGCGGCTCTATTACGAACATTATTTGCGTAGTAAATGACATACGCGAGTCGAAAGTGACTGCCAAAACCTTTTTCTCCCAGGGAGCGGTTGGCCATAAAGAGATATTTGCCCTAGCTTTCTGCATTGGCGACGACCTTTATAAAGATTTGACGGGTAAGTACTTCGTGTAAAGTGAATCGCCACACTCTTTTCGGGATTTACTTCTATTCTTCATTTGCGGAACCAATCGCCGAGGCGGTCGGCGGCGCTTTGAAGTCGAGTGTTAGTTGACTAAGGTTGCGGTCTGAATAAAAGAGCACCGTGTCATCGGCGAGCAGCGCGAGATTCACGATGGGGTCTTTAGGTATATCGTTCGTGTAGAGCGTAAAGAGCAAAGGTGAGAGGCAGGAGCCCTGTGGTACGCCGGCCGTGAAGCGCCGGCTTGTGGAGGGGTGCCTTCCATTCAATATGGAAAAGAGCAGTTCGACAGGAAGGCCAAAAATTTACTCTTTGAGTCTATTTAATATGAGCCGCTCGTAGAGCTTACTGGATTTTTTAAATTAAATGAGTCGTATTTGCGACTCATTAAATTTAAAAAAAAAATTTCATAGAACGATACAAGTATGAAGTCGTCCGCTTACTATATTTATGCGGGCAGTACTGTGTATTCAGTTTTATTAAATTTAATAAAATGTGTGTACTTTCTCAGTGAAAATAACAAGTTTTAAATACTTTTTTTGTCGTAAACTGAATGAGACCGAAGCTAATGCTTGTTGATTCATTAATGATTTTTCTCTATAGTTAAATTTTTTTTTACTATTTGTATCTTCGAAAACACTCTGAAATTTATCAAAATTACGTTCCATTTCACGTTTCGTAAGATTTTTAAATTTTAAAAAATAGATTAATTTTTACGCGTACGAACCTTCTTAACCCCCCCAAACTTACAGTGTACTTATATTCCGGCGACTCAATTCAAACGCAACCCCTTTTTTAACATTACTTGTGTCTGAGCATTGCGTGCGCCGGTGTAGTAAATCTAATAACCAAAGAGTAATTTTATATATATCTGCTAATAACCTTTGGTTAGCTGCCAAAATCGTCCTTCGGTTAGGTACACTTGAGTTAAGCAGCGCCGAGAGCTGACAGCAATCGTGGGGCACGATCTCTCGTTGCCTGCCGTAGTTCGCGCTATGGTGGGCAGCGAGAGGTCGTGGGGTACCGTACTTGCATTCTGCGAGGACATAATCACCCACCCGGAAGGAGGCCGCGGAGACGGAAAGGGAGGCAACTGCCACCCTGAAAATCCGCCGCCGGAGACCAGGGTGCAGGAGGCTGGCCTATGCCCGCAACCTTCCCCCCTGATAGCAAGCCCCGGGGCGGCAGATGTGGGACTAACTGCTGCCCCGTGGAGGGCTTGAGAGGGGTGCCGTGTTCATTGCACCGACACGGCACCATTTGGCTGGACCAGGTGTCCCTAACACCTGGGGAGAGGAGGCCTGAGAAGGCTACAGTCGCGCCGGGGTTCGCGGAATTTTGCGTTTTCGTGTTCCCGTGTCTGCGGCAAAGCGATAGCGAAGGTGCAACGTGGGTTTTTTCGTGGGTACGTGTAACTCCCACATACCCCTGCTGCTTACCCACAAGGCGGCGGGGGATCCATAAAGGATTTTTCCCACGTAAAAAAAAGGTACACTTGAGTTCATTCCCTGTCTTTTTAAACGCGGTAAAGAGTCACATACTCCCACATACCCCTGCTGCTTACCCACAAGGCGGCGGGGGATCCATAAAGGATTTTTCCCACGTAAAAAAAAGGTACACTTGAGTTCATTGCCTGTCTTTTTAAACGCGGTAAAGAGTCACATTCATAGAGTCTTTGCGCACCACGTAAACTTTAACCACTTAAAATGTAGCACCGTACCATCTCTTAATACTCGCGGTTCGAATAACGACGTCGTTGTTCCGACATCATTAGAGACGTGCGGCTGTAATTAGGTCACGGTCAAACTGAAACCAAGTCAAATATATAAAAGTACTCTTTGAACCAAGTTGAATGCAAAACAATTACAACAACAAAAAATTATATTGCACTATTTTTTGTCAAATACTATCATTTAAAATTATTTTCATATCACTAATAAATTAAGCGTACTTACTATTAATTACTTCATTGAGTGCAAAGTGACTGTTTTTGTGAAACCGGAGTATTGGTCATTTATGTAAAGTAATGAAATTATAGTATATTTTCGTACTATCTTTAGATATAGATAGTGTATACTACGAAGCATGAAATTATAGTACAAATACCATAATTATAATACTAAATCAGCCAGGGCGTCATAGCCAGGGTAGCTACCGCTAACGCTACCCTGGCTATGACACCGTGCGCGGGTGAGACGGACCCGGGAAGAGAGGAAGGGTCGTCTGCAATTTATCGTCGCGAGCGCTTCGTTTTGTTTGAGTGCGTGCATAATAAAATTTAGATATTTATGAACGAATACTGTTCAATTCAAAAGTTCTGTTTTATAGGGAATAGTAAGCATGTTTTTATTTCAATAAGCGATTATACTATCGAGTCTGAACTTTCTGTGTAAATTTGGGCACTTTTTGCAAATTCTCCCTGTACATGTATAATATAAGCGATAAGTCATATTATTATAAGACCGATGCAAAAAAAAGAAGGCTTGTAACAGTGAAAGAGTTCAGTAACAACTGTGACAAGATGTGAGAGTTTTTATTTCTTTCTAAGGTAACAGTCGGAGTTACGGAGCAATTTGTATGGACCAGGAACTGTTATTTAAGTTTGTTCGTAACATGTACAGTGTGTCATCTCGAGATACCTGTTATACAATATAAGTTTTCAAAAAATTGCCATTCTATTCCCTAAAATACAGAAGTTGTTGACAATGCGGTAGGTATGACATAAAGGCGTCGTATACTTTTGAAACAAACTTGTGTGCGTGTTAGTTATGATTGATCGCGCGTAAAATAAATTAGTTGACCATAAATCACACACTTTTTAAGATAAGTTCAAATGAATGTAGTTAATTAATTACGAGTGACTAAATATTTTTCATTTTTATATGTATCACATTATTTATGCCTAATTTGCCTTTTAGAATTTTTTTAATGTCTGCGATTAAATAAAAAAAAATGGATATATTTAGAAAAGCTTCCCTGTACTTACCTATTACGATAAATACGACTCCTACTTACGATGCCGCGTGGATTAGATTGCTTTTTTTATGTGAGAAGTTGCCAAACGAGCAGACGGTTCACCTGATGTTAAGTGAATACCGCCGCCCATGGACATCTGTTACACCCTAGAGTTTCAGATGTGTATAATTATATTGGATAAATAATTTGTTAACAATATTTACTATCAATTTTTACTTTCGTCGGCTATTTTCTTTTTAATAAAGATTTTATGGCCTGGTAACAAGACCTTCAAGCCATTTCGTCAGATAATTTCGGTACCAAAGACAATTATCATATACATAAGTCAATTCATTATTTTTAAAATTTAGTTTAAGTAATAAAACGGCATTAATATTTGATAAAGTCCTTATTTGTTAATTATTATGTAGGAAAATATGTAATGTAACCTGTAAAGTGATATGAAGCTTTATTTCTTATCTTTACTTGATACGTGGCAGAACGTGTTTCATGGGTGTGACAGCCAACATTGCTTTAAATTTTAACCATGTAGAAAGCAATTATGAATTCTATGTTCAAGTCATAAGAATTAGAATAGACTAAACTGCTTATTGATAAATAAGAAAATTGTAAAAACCTGTAGCCATACTGTTGTCGTAATTTGGCCCTAATCAAATAAGCGCCTGAGTGAAAGGAATATCAAATTTTATGTGTCAAAAATTGTTATTAACATCCATCCAGGGAGTATTTCTAATTATTCCGAATTAAATGTTGTAGAATGCCGCCTAAACGAAGAAAAGTTGGTCGGCCCCCGGGTTCCAAGAATAAAAAGACATTACTAAAACATAGCAATAAGATATCAAATATTAGTTGTGACCTATGTAACAAAAATTTTGATTCCAGAAATACTTTCAATAAACATAAAGCATTATGCGAAAAAATGATAAACACAGACATTATAAAGGTAAAATGGAACCATATAATATATTCTATCAATAAAATCGATTCAATAACTAAGACATGGCATAATTTCCCTGCTCCATATTAGTAATATTTGCTAGTATCAAAAGTTAATATCAAGATTACCTAGAAAATAAGATGATAAAAAGAAAAGAAAATATAAAGCCAAATTAAATTTTAGTAAATGATGATTGATGAGCTAATTATTACAACTTCTAGAAGTCTTGTCTGGTTGAAGTGTATTTTTAAATAAGAATTCATAAAATACTACAAATAAACCTTCATTTACAAATAATTACAGTTACAAAAAGTGGTCAGCTCTCAACAACACTTACTTCATGACAGTTACTTTAAGTTTCATGTCTTGTTTTGTGTAAATGAAATTTAAATAATAATAAATATTCTTTAATATCCATAGGCCACCTTCAGTTGTCAAGAGTGTACAAAAAAATTTAGGTTCCAAGAAAGTTATAAACTGCATTTGAAAAACGAACATTCCAAAGCACCAGGCAGTGTAAAATGTGATCAATGCCCTGTAAAATGTCCAAATAAGGAAATTCTTATGAAACATATTGAATGTTATCATGAACGAGACACTTTTGAATGTCCACATTGCAAGAAAGGGTTTACTAGACAGTCTCATGTGATGAGGCACATGGCACAGAAAGGATGCGGTGGAGAAATTTCACTGTTCATTTGTGAAGTGAGTACATTCCATAAATCATGTTAAAATTGTAATTGATCATATATATATACATTGATTCTACCTTTATATCTTTGCAGATATGCCATTGCTCCTTCTCTAGAAAAGATAACTTAATGGCACATTTACGATTACAGCATATAGCTAAAGATCATTTTAAATGTAAACAGTGCACATATCACACAAAAAACTTTTCGAAACTAATCATTCATGTGCAAAAAAATCATTTAGGTATATTTTTTTTTATTAATTTTAGTCTATAATTTGCCTTGCAATCGTGACTTAGTCATTATAGGATAACCACATAATGGGATCGAAAATATTTTCCATTATGTTGCTGTGCGTATAAAGTGTACACCTCTTAGTCTGAATGTAAGGAATTTTGACACTAAAATTAGCTACAGGCTGGGCACCTGTTTGTCCAAAGGTGTCCAAAGGGGAGGAATTATATGATTCCTGTTAAACTGTAATACCCTATAGGTTACTTTCCTTATTTCTTACTTACAAAAAAAATATTAAGGAGTAAATAAAAGTACCTATTTGATAATTTTTTTTAATATTGAAATATGTTATTTTTGTCAACATTTTTACATGTTCATATGAGTACTATTATTCAAATTAATATTTGAGATTTTTGTGACAGCAAAGCCACTCGGTTTTGAATGTGATCATTGTGGAAAAATTACAAGTTCCAGAGCGGCAATAGCAAAGCATTTGGAAATTCATGGGACAAAAAAATACAGCTGTGATGTGGTAAATAATTTTCTAATACTGTTTACTCTGTATGTTAAATGTGTTACTATTGATTTTAAATATCTATTAAAAAGGTTCTTGTGTACTAACAATATACATTTAATAAATAAAAATAGTAACTGCCTATTGTTTTCCTTGCTGCTCATGAGAGGGTTAAATGGGTAAGTATATGATTATTAATATAATGTTGTGGAAGAATATAAATTAAAAAAAAAGAAGTAATGATGGCTAGAGTGATTGGTAAATAATACGCTGCTATTGTGGTTTCAGTGTGGTTATGCAACATTCACACAAGAGGTGTTACGTCGTCACGTACTTACTCATGTGCAGGAAAAACCTCACAAATGCCAGATATGTCAACGCTCTTACATTCAGCGCGCTCAGCTGCAGAGGCACATGGTAAAGCACACTGGCATTATGTGTATGAAGTGTGGACAGAGCTTTTCCTCAAAAGCTGGGTAATATTAAATTTTATTAATAGCCTCGCCATCATTATCTTGGGGTGTATTATCTGCAGAATGAATAACTGCCTAAATATGACTTATATTTGGGATTGTTTTCAGATTCATCACTCATCAGAAGAGCCATATGGGTATTAACAAACTATGTTGCCCTTTCGAGAATTGTTTGTTTGCAAAGAAGGAGTTTAGTACGGAGGCCAACCTTCAAAATCATGTGAAATGGCATTTAGAAGAAAAACGTACAGTGACTTATAATAGTTGTATTATATAATTTACAAAAGTGTCAATCTTATAATTATGAGTAATTACATATTGTACTTTTTGGTAATGTTGTAATGTGCATATAGATCTGATTGTGCGTAAACAATGGTCTATATATAACCTTTAATGTGGTCACAATAAAGGTGCTTCTGCTGCAGTATGAATGTGCCCAGATTTGTGACTCCTCTGGTTCATAGGTGGAGGTGAATACTTACAACTTGGTGGCATGCCTGTTCGTATGCCTCCTTTACCATAAAAATAAATAAATGCTGTACGCCGCAAAAATGAATTGGTCCATGTATGAATAAACAAAAACCAACTCTCCCCCCTTACAGCGTACACGTGCGAGGTGTGCTCGAAGCGGTTCCACAGCCAGAGGCACATGCAGAAGCACCTGCTGACGCATACGCTGGACCGGCCCCGGCGGTGCATGTACTGCGTGGCGGCGCGCGCGTACGCCCGCGGCGAGCAGCTGGTGCGCCACGTGCGCGTCAGCCACCCCTCCGTGTTCCGTGACCACCTAACCCACGTGCGCCAAGTGCTGGTAAGTGCTCGTGTCTTCTATGGACTTACACCTCTTTTGGCGCGTTTGGAAGAAATTATGAGAGTGAAATTTCTACGATGCATGCGCGTGGACACAGCCATAAAGCGGCACGATGAAGTTGGTTGCAATGGGACAACGACATTACCATGCTAACATATATCAATTTTTTACTTTTCCCTAAAATTCATAATTATTTAATGAAACCTAATAAATGCATTTAATGTCATTTTCACAAACAGAGACCACTGGCACAGGGGATACGCATATGATACGCTAAAGAAGTCTTACATGCATTCATAAGTACAGACATACTTTTTTATTTATTTCATATGCACCAACATTACACCACCACGCATAATGTGTAGTAAAATTGATGTGTTCTCAGCTATAGGACCAATTCTTCTATATAGGTTTACATAACATGGGTAAAAAGAACTAAATACATTTATCAAAAGAAATTTGAAGAAAAGGTAGGGGACGCTAACACTAAAGCAAAATTATCAATTAATTAAATAAAATTTTATACAATCCAACAAATATGCTTACAGAAAGAAAACAATATCCTTTTAAAAACATAAGGTGACCCTAAGTGGTCTCCATCAGATTTTATTTCTTCGCTTTAAGCTTTGGTCAGAGCGGTGAGACCCACTGGGCTATGGGTATGTTCGCGTACCGCATCGCATCATACACAAAGCGCGCAGAAATTACATGTGCCCACGATGTTCATAAAAGTAATATAAGTGGCGTAGATGTTAGGTACGAGTTTCTTTTCCAATATTATCTTGTGCACAGTTCGCAGATTGTCGATCAGGCATTTCTTTTTGCCATCTATACTCCAGTGTGGTGCGTTTCGGTATCCTGATAATTACACTGTATATTACAAAGAAATGGGCCTACTACGATTTAATGAACCTTTGAGTGTTCAGTTTGGGTTAGCAAATATTTACCCATTTTTCCAAACCACATTAATTATACAAATCTTCAGTGTTCCATATACAAATAACAAGTCTAAAATGAGGTCTAACACCACAATGTGCGAAGAGACCAAGCTCCAATGACTAATATATGTATGTATATATATAATATATATATATGCATTACAGGGTCTAAATGTTGGCACGGAGAGAGTGAAAAAGTCTGAGCTGCAATCCATCTTAAACATGCTCGATGCTGAGTCAGACCGCATCCTGGAAGGATATGGCACTGGTGTTCTCTACGGCGGCTTAGTAGAACAAGATGAGTCCATTAGCGATGACACCTCCGGCACTTTGAAGGTTTGTGAAATTTCAATTTTGTTTTTTTTATGTTAGAATGTGGCAAGCGAGTTGGCGGTCCTTTTGATTTTAATTAATAACCACCGCCCATAGTTATTTACAACTCTGTAGGGTTGCAGATGTGTTGCCACCTTTTAATAAAGTGGGCCTCAACTACCTAACTCATGGGATGAAACGCAGAAGTATAAAATTCCCATTTCATGGTCTTCTGTGAGACCGAGATAGTGGTACTTCTCCAGACAGTCCTCCCCATTCCAGAAACAGCAAAGTGTTGCATGGCCCTACCACAGTTGTAAGTTAACAGTAGTTGTAGATGTAGATCAAGGATTTAGATAGGCTACAGGCAACTTGCTCGGCCAGTTCTTATAGCCTATAGCTGCAATAAATGTTAGGAAATTTGAACTTGCAATATTAATATGATAAATCTTAAAATAAAGTAAAAAAAAAAATTATATTTGAGTAAAATGAAGCAAAAAAATTTTAATTTAACAAGAGATTAAGTATGCCTATAATTTGTTTCTATAATGTTTATATTAATCCTTTTATATTTTTTTGTATTAAATATTACCAAATAGTTTACAAATCTAATATTATACTTTATAATGTGACACTTTATTAATTACTTATGTGAGTTTATGTTGCAATTAAGTCCATAAAATTATTTAATTTCCAATGTTATATTTTTATGTGCATATACATACTTGCATATGCATAGTAAGGAGCAAAGTGTAATATATTATGTTGTCTTCTTCGGAAAAAATATTTAAATCTATGTTTTGTATTTCAGAATGAAAATAGCCCATTAATGTCGGAAGACGAACTTGTAGAAAACCTCAAAAAGTTACTACTTCAGTTAATTGACAAAGAAACCTTAGACATTTTTGGGTGGCCAGATGAATCAATCGACATGGTATGGCTTGTTGTTATTAAATTTATATACAGCGTGTCGTTACCATCGCGACAATAAATGAACACACGTCTATCGCTACTTGCCAATAATCATAAAAAAATATTAACGTTAAACAAAATCCATAATTAAAAAAAAATATTTTTCAAACAAACTAATTAAGTAAAAAAGAAACAAAATTTGTAACACCTATACAACTCACGCACAATGTCGTATTACAAGCCTCTCCTTCTAACAGTATGTTTTGTCTCTTTTAAATTCATTCAACCCATTCATATGATTTGTGACTTTACAAATGAACTTTACGTTACGCTTTTATAGGTAAGGATGTTCTAAAATTCTTTGTTTTGGAAAATTTGATAACTCTGTAAATATTGATGTTTAAAGAATTTAAATATTTAATACAACTTTAAAAAGTTATCCCCTATATTTGTGTTCATTTATTGTCGCGATGGTAACGAAACGCTGTATACATGTGATTTCTTTACGAATCTTCCAAACATAAAAAAATATTATTAATTCTTTATTAAATTGCCGCTATCTTATTAAAAAAGCTGACAAGTAACAAAACAGAATTTTTCTTGTGCAACAGTAGAATAATGTCAAAAATAATTTTAAAATCCTTTTCTTAGATATTGGAGAAAGTAATAGAGCACTGCGGTGCCCGGGCAGCTGATCGTGAAAAATGGTCAAGGGTACAGCGCCTGCGGGAAAACGCAAAGCACTTGTTTGTATATGCTATTGAAGATAAGAACATCGCGCGTATGCTCGATACGCACACAATCGATCAAATCATAAAACACATTCTGGCACAAGTGGACAGCATCGACGAAGTTTCCGAGTAATGATAACACTCATTGACAGATGTTTTACTAATTAACGTTGACAGTAGGCCGTTTCGCGCCAAAAATCACCCATTTGATATGCCAAAACACTACTGCTAATAACTACATTCAGACATAATTTGGTTGTTTTTTTAAGCACATGAGTTATTATTCTTTGTTACATTTAGTTTCTGTATTCATGTAGTAGAATAGGTGTTAAAGTAATAATTTCTTATGCTTATGCGAACAACTCACATTATTACATTTAACTATTTTTAAGGATTTTCTTGCACCTAATTGAAAATAATTTGTATTCATAACAAATTCCGGATGTTTCGAATACCAATGAAACATTAGAAATCTGTTAAAAAACTTTAATAAAGAGTCAAAATAGTAGTTTGCTCCATTAGTGCAATGTCGGAATATTAATGTAGTCATGATGATGGTGATGAATTACGAATTTTGTAACATTAGAACTGTAAATTGAGAGATCATTCTTTTCAATGCAGTCTTTATTCACATATTTTTTTATTAAGATGCATAAAGTGCTCTAACATTATCTATCTCATTATCTTATTATCTCTTTGGGTTACAAGCATAAACATGTTATTATTTCAATTAAAGAGATTTTATTAAAGAATTTACAGTTTAACCTGTTTAAGTCATAACCCATTCTGTATGGCATTGCACGCACTGGTTTTAATTTAAGTTGATTTTATAGTTCTTTTTATTAAAGAACCATGCTCGTTCCAATTTAGAAATTTAAGCAAATGTCCATTATGTTTATTTTTGGACTTGATAAAAGTTAATATTTCTTAAGGTTGTAGTTTAGTGTGTGATTACTATTTTTGTTTAATACGTATTTTTATTAGATCGTTGAATATATTTTTACATAAATTTATAGAATTTAAGTCTTCCTATTGGAAATGGTAACCTTGGTGTCGTAATTTGAAATTTATATCTGCATAAAATGTTATTGTAGTGCCTTATATATTATAATTTCTTTTAATTTAAATATAACATGTGCTCTATATATGTTACTATGATATGAATTACGCGTTTTTAATAAACTTTAATGGAAGGTACCTTGTTTTATTAACATTTATTTATTTATGCATTGCAACAAAAAATGTTCATTGCACACCATTTCTAAATGTCAATTAGTGTTATGATAATTACCGTTACGAACCATGATTTAAGTTTAATTTGTCATGATTAAGTTTCAACTCTTCAGATTGTCGTATTAAACAACTGCTTGTATCGGAATACGCATGCTTATCTGTAGCGTTGGTCTCCCAGCGTCGTTTTTTTTAAGCATTGCCCCTATTATAGGTGGGCGATACAAATCGTATCAGATATGAAAACTAGATATTAGTACAATATCCGAATATCGCTTACTGGCTCGTTCAATATCTATGTATTTTACAATATCTGATATTTCCGAAATCTGATGTACCGTGCTCGCTCGCTATACCGACACGAATCGCGATATCATACGCGTTTACCACAATATTTGATTTTTAAACAGATTTCGAGAGACAAAGCGCGTGAGTAGAGATGGGTCGTATCGCTTTTTCTGAGTACCATATCTGAATCAGATTTCGATTTCAAATATCAGATTTCGAAACTATGTATTTTAATATCTAGATATTTTATGGTCCCGTATCCACCTTGAATTCTTAAAAAAAAAAAAATTTTTTTTCAACAATATTTTATACTTATTATAAATTGTGCAGGCGTGACTAAATTCAAAAACTAATTCTCCTTACTGAATTTAAAATCACACTTTTTTTATACTATTAAGGTAAAATTAAAACATTACCTGATTAAATTAAAAATTTCATTAAAAATAGAAATTTAAGTAATATAAAAATGATTTATTTCAACATCTTATATATCGCTTAATGACTTACTGACTTTAACATATTCTTAGAACACGCAATCATGAGTGACAATATTTTTATAATTTGTGTAAGAAATAATACATTCAGTATTATAACTTAGGGCGGAAGAAATTAAAATATACACACAAAGCACATAAGCCTTGGTCTGATTTCCACCCAAGCAGCACAGCACTATTACATTATATTTTTCTTTTTGTGTAGTTTTATTTTTTTCCAAAAATATGAATAAAATTTAACTAATAAAATATTCACAAAAAATTTACCTCCTAAAAAATTTCCATTTATATTTTTCTTCCTTAATTTAGGCAGAAAATTCTTAAGTAGTAAGTTGGCATCCCTTACTATTACGTACCAATGCAATCCAGCTCAAGGTTAAACAAAACTTAAAAACATCGTTAATACCGTAATTCGTATTTAAATGCAACTAAAAATGTTTTTTTCCATGCTGTTAAGATTCAAAATTACTTAACTGCACGCTTTGTCGCCCGTTACGGCTCAAGGCTAAACAAAACAATAAATATATACTTAATAATATCGTTGTAGTAATCGTTGATACCATGATTAATATTTAATTGAAACGGTTCTTATTCGCATGGTCTTAAGATTCAAATTTACTTAACTTATTCAAAATATCTGTTTAAAAATCTGATATTGTGCCTTGCTTGCCGTACTGCTCTAACTAGTGTAATATTTGTATCTCACGCGCTTTGTCGCTCAAAATCTGTTTAAAAATCTGATATCGTGCATTGCTTTCCGTCGCGCTCTAACTAGTGAGTATTTATATCTCACGCGCTTTGTCGCTCGATATCTGATATCGTGCATTGCTTGCCGTCCCGCTCTAACTAGTGAGTATTTATATCTCACGCGCTTTGTCGCTCGATATCTGATATCGTGCATTGCTTGCCGTCCCGCTCTAACTAGTGAGTATTTGTATCGTGTGGTATAGCGATACGCCACTCTCCCTTTTTTTACGTCGGGAAAATTTCTACGCATACCGCTCTTTTAGGAACTTGGACGGGCTATGTCGGACTCGCACCTGGCTCGACCTCGAGCTATGTTTGAAACAGCTAAGGTGGAACCTAGGTAACACCTAGGTGGAACATCCACCTAGGTCACATTTCCGTCAGAAGCCCCTTCTCGGGGAGGAACGGCGTCATCGTGTCGTCGCCTTCGTTATGTTTTTATAAGTCGGTGGATAATGGATTGTCTACCAGTGGATCTTTTCTGGTGAAGCTGTTAAAGCTGCCGGCTAACAGATTCTCCACTTCACAAAAAAAAACTTAAAACGGAACGGTGACAAAATCTGTTATCTGTTTACGTAGACTAATGGATGAGAAAAAATTATGGATAATGAATTAAGAGTCCGTATGTTGGAATCCCCTAGACGTTAAATTAAACTAATGAATAAAAAAAAATCTGTTTACAATTACATTTATTGACATGGTACACCTTTCAATTAATGTCATCTGTCATATTTAAGTTATTCATTTTAATGTCAAAATAAGGTCAACCCAAAGAGTACTTTTATATATCTGAAATATATACTTTTATATATCTGGGTCAACCGAAACGAGAATCTGATATCGAACAAAATTATATCAGATTTTCTTTATAAAATAAATTGAAGATGACAGCTGTCCCACTTATTGTGAAGTTATTGTCCTCATCAGTCTCAGTGGCAAATAGAGCTGGAAAAATTGTTAGAGATGTTATGAGCAAAGGAGAACTCGGTATCGTCGAAAAGGTCTGCAGGGAACAAGTTATCTTAAATTTTGTTTTACATTAATATGTTCTTAAGCTTTAACTTATTTCTATAAGACTACGTATTACTGCATTTATATTTATTTTATTCTAGGGTAAAGATGACTTTCAGACTGAAGCCGATAGATCTGCACAGCGGTGCATTATTGCATCACTTTCCACTCAATATCCCAAATTGAATATTATTGGTGAAGAAGATAGTTTGGATACAGTGGTAAATCTATGATTAAATAATTAATGCCATTTATAATTTAATAAATAAAGGTCTTGAAATAAGTAAAATCTAAAAATAGACATCAGCTATCATTTCTTAACAAGAAGATAATAAAATAGAGATTTTTTGTGTGATTATTGTACATTGGACCCTTCAATACTTAGCTATTAAAACTGGCAATCATTGAAATTGTTGATGTTATCAAGTGCAAAAAATTAAGACCATTTCTGCCATTTTTGAAGCTTTACAAATATACCAATTAACTTTGTGAAAGCCTCATGATCTTTTATAAAATGAACAACTAATCTTTTGAACATTTTGAATCTATTTCTTGAACTAATTCAAATGGAATAAATAACACTTGAAAGTTGTTTGTCATACACAAAAACAATATTATTTCAGGATGAAGTTCCTAGCGATTGGATTGTTATAGACTCTGATAAAGATGTTCTGAGCCTCGAGTGCCCCCCCAGCCTTCAAGATATTAAGGAAGAGGATATTGTTGTATGGGTGGATCCTCTTGATGGAACTTCAGAATACACTCAAGGTATTTTATTTTTTTATTAATTTTTATTTAAATATTTTATTGAAAACTATAGAACTTACATGTTATTTAAATAATACATGACTTATCTAATATATAAAATTCTCGTGTCACAATTTTTGTAATTGAACTCCTCTGAAATGGCTCGACCGATGTTCGTAAAATTTTGTATGCATATCGGCCAGGGTGGAGAATCGGACAACATCTATTTTTTAGTCCCTAAATGTTAAGGGTGGTTCAACCCAAACATTTTTTTTGTACCCTACAAATCATTTAAATGACAAAACAAAGTTTTGCCAGGTCAACTAGTTTACAATAAAAATTGTAAATGTTGTAAAACAGGTTTTAAGCTGTTATCGAGCTTTATGGTAGTGCAGCTGTATGGTTGTGCAGATATGGAGAATTCATTATTTCTAAATTTCCTTCAAGTAATTTCAAAATATTCTAGGTGCCCTAATGTTGAAGAGAGATCCTTGGGAAAGATGGAAAATGTACTTAACACATCCATTTATTAGTATCAAATGGTATTTAAGTTTGCTCCAATCAAATTATGGTAAAATGAAAATTTGAAAAATAGTAGGTAGTAAGCTTTTATGTGTAATCACTATAAATCAATAAGGGTCATTGATAACAGTTCATTATCCATTAAATATTTAAGCCATGAATTTAATATTGTAGAATGTTAAAGATTTTATAGTTCTGAAAGTTCTGATACAATTACAGTGTTTCATAAATTATCCAACATTATCAATGACTTCTGTCATTAACAACAAGTCACCCATGAGCTAACTTTAACTGTTTATGAATAACATACAAACAACTTACCTCTCGGACCTCTCTCTAAGACGGAGGGCTCATGCTACCCGAATTAGACGCTACTCGCAACTTCGGCTGTCTATCGGCTGTAAATCTTTGTGCAAGCAGTGCAGTAGTTAAGTGTTAGTGTAGTGTTGTGCTCGTAAGCAGGTTCCTGTTCTGTAAGTAGAATTCCACACATACTTCTCGCCTCAGAGGCGGCATTGTTTTATTTAATAACTGTGTGCTTGTTGCGAAAGGCGACAGCTAGGTACCCACCCTAGCGCACCTAAAGCGCAGGCTAATTAGTTGATAGTTTTAGGCACACACCTCCCTGCCGCAAGGTGGGGAGGCCTATTTAGAAACTACACGCCGGCGGGGCGCAAGCCCCAAAGGCTCAAGCGCCGTTATGGGTTCTCTCTTAGGGGAGTTCATTCGCGAACGATGCCCCGAATGTGGCGTAGCTTTCTCGCCTTCGCCGCGGAGAAACGCCTTGTCGTCGAATACGCTAGCGACAACCCGGCTTCACCGGCAGTTGCCTCCGGTGCCCTCTGCGCCAGCTAATGAGTCACTGCGACACTAGTAACACCCGTCGCGTCGACTTCCGCCGCCGCGAATCAACCCAACGCCCCTTCCGCGCAACCAATTTCGGCCCCCTTCCGCGATGTCGTTCCCGACTCACAGACGGCGGCTCGGACATGGTGGTCGAAACGACCCCCGCTGATAACGCGAACGCCGACGGCTTCACCATCGTAAAGTCGCGCAAAAAGGGCAAAAAACGCCCCGCAACTGACAGCGACCCCGAATGCGAGGCCGCCCCATCTAACCGTCCCACCGCGACGCCCGCCAAAAAGGCAGCCGCGGCTGCCCAATCAAATTATTATTCAAGAAAAATTAAAGCGGCATCAAGTATGCGTTTGTACGTACCTCAGGTAGAACAAAACCTCGGGCTCTGGTTGTTTTGTATTTCAACGCAAACGGCATTAAGGGTCAAAGGGACGAAATCGCATAATTCCTTCGCGATTACAAAGTATCTATTTTGTAATCGCGTAACACCCGTTTTTTAGTGCAAGAGACATTCTTAAAACCTACACCATAGTCCGCCACGACCGCTTAGCAAACCGTATGGGAGGCACTAATTTATTATAAACGGTCCTTGCACTGCAGCCCGCTCGATATTCCAGAGTTAAGCCATATAGAGGTATCCGCATGTAGGTTAGCGCTCACCGGCCATAGGCTGCTTGTACTAGTCTCAGCCTACCTCTCGGGGAACAAAACCTTATTACAAAGCGATCTAGATACGCTACTCAACTTAGGCCCTTCCGTGATAATTGCAGGAAATCTAAACTGCAAACACGGCCCATGGGACATCCACAGTATCCCAAATAACAACGGAAAGCATCTCTTTAGTTTATCCGACAATTTAATATTTAGCATAGTCGCGTGGACAACTACCAACACGCGTCACCGAGTATCCTAGTTATCATGTTATTCAAGGTCTCGCTCGACATCGAGACATCGAGAGACAATCCATGAACTAGATTCAGATCACAGGCCCGTCCTGTGTAAACTGGGCCAGAACGCCGGCGCGGTCCCTCCGAACAAATCCGTAGTAGACTGGCATCGTCTTGAGGTCAAACTCAAGGCCTTGGACCCCCAGGACTTAGTTGACCTACCCGAAACGATAGCTACGTTCGATGACGCTAATCGAGCGATAGCAAGTCTCCGAGAAACCATCACTTCCGTAGTCGCAGACTCGGAACGGACGGTGAAACTGTCGAGCGACCGACGGTTTAACTTTCCATCTGACCTGCGACTGCTAATTAGGCAGAAAAATGCAGCCAAACGCGCTTTCGACCGATACCGATCGGAATCGAACCGAACCCTACTTCGACGCCTTCAGCAAGAAGTCAAAGATCGGAACACCGACATACAACGTGGGATACTCTCCTAGAGAACATCGAGCCATCGCACACCGCCTACTGGCGGTTGGCCCGCAGTCTGAAAGCAGACCCCCGCGAATCTCTACCGCCGTTAGTTAGACCTAATAGCGCTTCAATAGCCCTAAATGACTCCGAAAAAGCCGAATGCCTTGCGGACAACCTACAGCAGCAATGTACGCCATCGCGCGAACACATCGATACAGCCCACCTAACGGAGGTGGACCGCGTAATCGAGATTAGGGCTGGCCACCGGAAGGCGATCCTTTGGGTTCAGTGACCCCCGAAGAGGTCCAAGATATTATTAAGAACTTAAAACCCAAATCCGCCCCGGGCCCAGATAATATTAGTAACAAAATTCTTAAAGCTCTCGCTGGGCCGCTTATCGGTTTATTGGCGACCATTTACAATAATTTACTCTCCAGTTGTTCCTTTCCGGACGACTGGAAAGAAGCCACGGTTATCGGCATTCGCAAGCCGTCCTCTAGTTATCGTCCCATCAGCCTCCTCAGTTGCCTGGGGAAGCTCTACGAGCGGCTTTTATTAAATGAGCACGTGTTTTCCAACGGCCTTCTCCCTGCGGAACAATTCGGCTTTTGACCTAGACAGTCCTGTCCCGATCAACTATTCCGCCTAACGGAACATATCCTAAAAGGCCTAAATCACCCTAGCCCTCCCTAACCGCTCCCCTGGGAGAAAAAGGTCAAATACTTAGGAGTTACTTTCGACTCGCGTATGTCATTTACTACACACATTAATAACGTTCGCTATAGAGCCGCGTTCGTCTCCAGCCGGCTACACAATTTAACTAACGCTAAAATTAAAATGCCCTTAAGGCACAAATTATTATTATATAATCCCTGCGTACGACCTATTATATCCTATGCATGCATGACCTTCGCCCACACGCACCCTACTCGCTTGTACAAGTTGCAAATAGTACAAAAAGAGTTCATCTGCCGCGCAACCGGTGCGCAGTGGTATCAACGCAACGTCGACTTGCACAGCGATTGCAGACTCCCGACAATTCGCGAATATTTTAAAGACCTGACCAAACGGTTCTTCGATAGAGCCGAACATCATCCCAACCCTCTGGTGGTAAGCGCAGCAAATTACTAACCCGACACAAACGCGAACGTCAACAAGCGTCGCCCGCAAAACTTCGAGGTAGGGGACTTAGATACGCCGGACCCACCGCCGGGAGTCCCCGCCGGATAACACCCACAGTTAGTGCAACAACAAACACACTAGTTCGCCCTCGCCTCCGAGCACGGCGAGACCAACACAACGCGTACACAAGGTGCGTTCCGGGGCGGTTCTCACCGCTCCCAGCCACCGATTAGCTAATCGCACAGTCGACGGCCAGTCGGGGTTTCGGTCCGAACCGCGAGGTCGATAGCCCTTAGATGACACACCATACTTAAAAGCACGCATGAGAACTTGCGTGGCCCTACCCAAACACAGCGGAGGGCCCAAACCCTTGGGTTCTGGCTAGCCCACCGGTTCTGCGTCAGATGAAGCTTTAATAGTCTCGGGACTGAAAGCAAAAACATCAGTTAATACAAGATACAAGACAAACAACTTAGGTTTTATTGTATGTTTAAAGGATTTTAATATCTGCACTTTGCATGTTGCATGTAATCACAAGAAAATTGTAAGAACAAGAGTCATATTATAAACATATATATTTTGATACAGGTTTTCTAGAGCATGTGACTGTTCTGATTGGTATATCTGTCAATGAAAAGCCTGTGGCAGGGGTTATTCACCAACCATATTATAAAACACTAATTGGAGGTGAAAATAAGTTGGGCAGGACTATATGGGGCTTGCAAGACACAGGAGTTGGTGGATTCACTCCTGCACCTCCCCCGGATGCTCTAGTTATTACTACTACAAGAAGTCACTCTAATCCGCTTGTAGAGAAGGCACTTCAAGTGATGAATGCCAATCAAATATTGCGTGTTGGAGGAGCGGGCTACAAGGTGAGTTTATAATATACCTCAGTGTTGGTTCAAAATATTGTGAGAAATCCTGCATATTTTCGAAATAATAAAAGAAATATGGACATGATGAAGTCTGCAGTGAACCGATTGTGGACCATACTTTAATACCCTTTGTAGAGTATAATTCATAAACAAGGAATTTGTATAGATAAGACACAAGTGAGGGGGTGAGGTGTGCCACATTAGGATTTATATTAAATTGCAGTAAACAATCTTATGTCAACAACTTTCATATATATTATCATTATTCATGATAAAACCAATAACAACATGATGACAATTGATTATGTTTAAGTTGTAAACATAAATACCTTTTGGGCTAGTCACTTTTCTCTGTACTTTAACCATAAGAATGTTATAATTTTTATTGTAGGTTCCTATTAATATAAGAAATGCCAAATTTCAACCATTAGAACTTTTTTTGAGTTTTGAAGATATTACTTGTAGAATTATTGATAACATTTTATTGAAAAACGATATTTAAAACTACAGACTATTGGCATAGTGTAACACATGCGCATGGAATGTTCATTGACCTGCCATAGTTCATGTTATGGTTGACAACAAGAGGTCGTGGGGTGCTGTCCTGGATATCCATCGCCGGTGACCAGGACGCAGAATTCTGGCTTACGCGCGCAACTTTCCCCCTGATAGTGAGACTGCAAGTGGCAGGCCTAGGGGCATCTGCTGCTGAATATGGGGCTCGTGAGGGGTGTTGTGTTATTTGCACCAGCATTTAGCCGGACTGGGTGTCGCGGGAGATGCGACAGAGACAGGTGCAACATGTGCTTTTAGTGGGTACCCGTTACTGACTGTGACTCTCACATACGGTGTCATGTGATCTATAAAGAATATCGCGCTACCCGTAGCCACCGAGGCTGGTCGCTGTCGGAGGTGTCGGAGGGGAGGTGGGAACAAACTGAAGGTGTGAAGGGATGATCGCTGTGACTTTGTTACGCAAAGACGAAAGGGCTGCTATCCCCTAGCCTATGGTTACAATTTAACAAAAAAAATGATAGCTTCGACTGGTAAACTACTGAGGGGGTACTCCTCTCCCCTTGCGCCCCCATAACCAGATGTCCCGTATGTATAAAATTAACGATTTTAAAGGGTATAATAGTTTAACACAAAAATAAATATTTCCCTTGAAAAACATCAAGAAACTGCATTTCCGACGAACCCCCCAATCCACCCTCCTCCAGCGGGGATGCACTTATATTAAATAGATGTCATAAGAGTGAAAAAAATAATACTGTAGTAAATAAGCAAACGGGGAAGATAGTACAAAAACAATATCTCTACCTTTAGTTAAGAAGCATGAGTGTTTATCTATCAATCATATGCAAATATTAAGTTTTTAATTAAAAAAAATGTACATACCGATTCCAAAACTTTTTATTTTTATGTGCAAGGTCTTACAATTACTGGAAGGAGTTGCATCAGTATATGTGTTTGCAAGTAGTGGCTGTAAAAAATGGGATACATGTGCACCTGAGGCAATACTATCTGCAGCTGGAGGAAAGTTGACTGATGTTCTTGGCAACTTCTACAAATACGGCGCCTCAGAATCGCGACCGAACAAAACTGGAGTACTCGCTGCTGTTAACAATGATTTACATAGTTACGCCCTCAGCAAAATACCTCAAGAACTAAAAGACACATTGTCCAAAAAGTAAATAAAAAATAAATATATAAATAATTGTGTACTTCATCATTGTTGTATATTGTACATAAATGTAATTTTTATTACTTGGGACTTAATAAATACTATATAATATTTCGTTTTTGTTAACATCTCTTTTATCTTTAACTTAACATTGTAAAGAAATTTTGGAATGTGTATAATACCATTTATGAAACTTTCTGTGTATAGAATACTGTTAGTTAAAATGATACAAATGCAATAGTTGTATATATATTAATTTCCATCAGTGACTAGAAATCAATTTTTTATTTTTTATTCTGAACTATAGTTTGCTTTTACCAAGATAATTTGGTAACATAGCTTTGAGTTCACGGCGTAGAATTTTTCCAGAAGCATTTTTTGGTATTTCTTCAAGGAAAATAACACCTCCACGAAGATGTTTTGCTGGTGATACCTAGAATTACAAATTTTCTATTTATTATAAAAAGAGAAAGAAATAAAACTCCAAAAAAAAGATCCAAAAAAAAAAAGAGAGATTATTAATGAAATATTATTATAAAATATTCAATAAATTGCTTAATAAACATAGCCTTAGTTTATAAAATTGTTTTTGGTGTTACAAGTTACCAATTCAATTGGTTTATTTAGTAGGCAAACTTGTTTTTGCCATATGGGTTACAGCTTTTTATTCCCCAGCTTTTCCCTTAATAGCAAGTGTGGTTGTATGTTCAAAACTGATATGACATATTCAAAATCACAGTACTTTTTCAAGAATGTAAAAGCATTTCATCTTTTTAGTTTCTTCATTATCTTGTATACAAATATATGACAAAACGCAATTGTAAACCTAATCTTCTTATAACAAACTAATCATATTTTGAACAAAATTGGCCAAGGCAAGACTCAATTTATACAGTTAATAGTAACACACCTTGCTAGCAATATACTGAATGATTTCGTTTGCTGTTACAGTGGTGTTTGGTTGTCTGACTACGAATGCCGTTGGTAATTCCCCTGCTACCTCATCAGCCATGCCTACTACACCACAGTCCGCCACGCTTGGATGCTGCAGTAATAATGCTTCGAGTTCTGCTGGAGCCACCTACAAGAAAAAACATATCTATTGAATATGACTTTTTAGTACAACTTTAATTCAATAGCCATTGAAAGCCAATCCAGCATAGGTCTGAATGGAAGAGAATGAAAGAATTGTATTTAAAGCTAAACAATAGGTTGATGAAATTAGCAATCTTTGTTATGGTCTACTACAGCAGAATAAGCATACGTCTGTGTTATCAGAACACTTATTTAGTACAAAATATCAGAAATAGGTAGCAGTTTAATGCAAGCATGAAATCTGGAAAACCATTTTTGACCTTACATCCCAGGTCTCTCATCCCAGCTATGATCTATTGCTCTTTATGAATTTGATTTTAATGCCAAGGTTGGTGCAGTTGGGAACAGCAAGGTTGCATAAATATTGTCTTGGCATTGCAGGTTTTATTTCCATACTCATCATGTTATAACCATAAAATTTAAAGAACATTTAGATATTTATAGAACATTTAATCAAAAAGTTATTTTGTACTTACTTGAAATCCTTTGTATTTAATAAGCTCTTTTAGTCTATCGACAACATAAAAGTATCCATCTTTGTCAAAGTAACCAATATCTCCTGTTCTGATATATCCTTCAGAATCTATTAAAGCATTGCTTGCTTTCTGGTCCCCCATGTAGCCCTTCATGCGCAAAGGTGATTTAATCCATAACTCCCCTTTCTCGCCAGCAGTTAACAATTTTCCACTGTCAATGTCTATTACCTAATAAATTACAGGAGTAAAAGTAATTAAATAGCAAGTAAATATTTGAAAAAAATTGTTAGCAGTTAATAACCAATTACCTTGATCTTCATTCCTGGAGCAGGTGTACCGCAAGAGCCAATTTTTTCACCACTTGTTAAATCTACACAACATGCCATAGTGACTTCTGTCAGACCATAACCTTGTTTAATGAAGTCAATGCCAGTTCTACAAGTAAATGTTCATGTTACTCACCAAAATTTTTACACATTTCCTAATTATTCAAAGATTTTACCTCTGCGAAACCATTTTTTGTATTTCACTTGATAGGGGTGCAGCACCACACCAGATTTCACTCAATGAGGTGAGATCATACTTGGTGACTAGTGGATGTTTTGCCAGAAAAACTGCTAAGGGTGGGACTATAGTTGTCATGTTTACCTGGAATTAAAAATATAGATGGAACACTTTCGAATTATTAATAATTTTTGGTATTTAATAGTGCCTACTAAAATATTATAATTAATGTGAATGTAAGTTTGTTACACTTTCACGCCAAAACTACTCAACCGATTATCATGAAATTTTGTACACATATTCTTAAAGGTATTAAATAATTAAAAAAGAAATTTATGTAAGGGCTTCAATGCGAGCAAAGCCATGGTTAAAAGTTAGTATAATATAAACATACTTTGTCATTATAGCAATATAGATAAAAGAGGTAATATAATACCAAAGGCTGTACAGCTGATTACCATAAGTGCAGTCTTTTATATTTGATACTATCATCACATTGAATGTTAATAAATACCTTATAATTTTGTATAGTTTCCAAAAATTGTTGCTCATCAAATCGGATAAGGAATACTACTTCAATATGCATACACAGGACTGCCATTGTTGTGATGAACCCATATGCATGGAACCATGGTATCAGTGACAATCCAGTTTTAACACTATGCTTCCTTTTCTCTTGGGACACTGTTAAGTAATACCTTAAAGAATAATAAATGTTATTATACATTTATGAAGTGACATATTTTCTTTTACTTTTATTTATTAATACTTACTTCATATGTGCAGATAATGTGAGGAAATTAACATGAGTAAGCATGACTCCCTTTGGTAAGCCAGTTGTGCCTGATGAGCACATAACAGCCACAGCATCTTCAGCACCATTTACATCAGCCAATACAAAATTGTCAATGCTTACATGTTTCTGTACTAGTGTATTGAAAAATATAGCAGGAACCACATCATAGTCTCCAAATAATATAATATTCTTTACATATGATAAATCTTTACTACAATCATATATGTTTTGTGCAATGATTGGTGATGAAAATATAAACTTTGGTTTGATAATTTGTAGTATATGAGTCAATTCTCCTGTGAATTTTAAAGTGTTATTATATTAGAAAAATTGTTGGTGAAGGTAAATAAATAAGTTTTTTTCCCACATACCTGGTGAATATGTAACATTAAGAGTTGACAAGATAGCTCCACAATAAATAATAGCATGAGATGCAATAGTAAATTCAAAGCTGTTTTCGCTACTAAGAGCTACAACATCCCCTTTATTTAATCCTAATTCTTTAAGAGCTACGGCAAGATTGACGCTTTTTTGCAAAATAAAGTTATATGTTGCACTTTCCCCCGACTCTGCACTTATCTAGAAAATAAAATCATTGTGTGAAAGATGAAATAAAATACATTAAATAAGTTATTCGTATTCAATTCACGGCATGAATGAACTGCAGCGAAATCATATTTTTTTAAGTGGGTTTTGTACTTACCAATGCAGTTCTATCTCCACCCTGTTTAAATTTGTCATATAAAAATTGGCCATATGACAAATGAGCAGGTATATTCTCTTCTTCGGGACCAATAACAACGTTATTTTGAACAATTACTGGCATTGTTATTAATATTGACTTTCAGCTTAATTATTTTTAACTTGATCTATTCGCCTTTTATTATGTGAATATGTGATAATAATTTATAATCTCCTGGCGATTATTGAAAATTATCATTAGAGACATGTACTCATGATGTTGATAAAAAGTTGATAAGCAATAAACAATGGTCCAATGTATCTAGATAGATTATAATTAGCAGCACCAGTATTACAAATAGAGTAAAAAAGTACATCATTATATCTTTCAGTTTCAATAATAACAATAGCCATAGAGTAACATTATTTTTTTTTGTTTATGTTTAAAGAAATGGCAATTTCAATTATGTAACGTCAGTTTCATAACTATTAAAATTGCTGTTAATGCTGTTATCATTAGACTAGTATATCAGCTGTTAACTGTTACTGCTGGTACCAGTTAGGTACCTACACTTTGCCCGTATACCATAAGAAAACAAAACAAACATACAAACAGTACTATATTTGTTGGTTATTGAATATATCGTTTTAAATATATTTTTTTAAAGAACGTGAGTACAATTTTTAATTTATTAAATCTTCATATCGCTGTTTTTAAATCGAGCTTTTTGTTAATTACTGAGAAAGATAAATGTTTAGTTCATTAATTATATATAATAATGAAATTTTTATTTTGGAACAATTATTTTATTATCGAGTTAATACTAATTATTGTAAATGAAGTAGAATGTTTTCCAACAACCTGAGCTCTTTTTCTATAGGACATGTTAATATTTTAATGATGTTCATTTCTTTTTCATGTTACTGTCTAGAATTTTAAGATTGCGGTAATCAGAGAGAATGTAATCACTAAGTTTACTAATAATGTAATCACTACGTTTGTCGGTAATATGAGCGACTAACAAGAATATTTATTATGCATGGAGATGATTATACATTACCGCCGACTTACTATTATATCTGTAGGAATGGATGTAACGACTAGTATCATTATTTAACTATTCAGTAATTAATGTATAGTCTATGAAGATTGACTGACGGATGAATTTATGAATGCTGTAGGCCACTTGTCCTTTATTATGCGTTTCTCAAAGCAAACTGGGTCAAACATTGTGCTAATGTATGATCCTTTTACATTGTTGGCAGTCAAGCACACTAGAAACAAATTATGATGAATTGTATTCATATAGGATGCAAGTTTACTTAATACAATTTCCCTAAATTAACGTTAAATGGGGATTGAAGAATTATAGGGTATGAAATTTTGTGAAAATCTGTCGAAATTTATGTAACGATATAAAAATATCCATGACACGTCTCATTCGGTTACTAATTGAATAAACACGTGTCACGATTTTTTTGAAAAATTAATCCCTGAGGGTCAAGTTGGCCAGAGCCTAAGCTGGCAGGATAAACATTAACTTGAAATTTTGTTTTTAAAAGTTGTGCCCCCAAAAAGTTCAAAAATGCATTTTTTTTCTCTTTTCTAAATTGAAATCGAAGAGATAGAGTTTTTATGCACGTTATTTTGGAAAGCTCTAACTCTGGCTAATATCGCGGTATCACATTTCACGAAAATCTTGTTATAACGTATGCACTCATAGCTATAATCGAGAAAATTCAATTTATAGTCATTTGTACTGTGGGGTTGTCTCTAAATGGTAATTTCTTATATTACGCGAGTGCATGTTATGAGTTGATTGATGAAATTATACTATTGTTGAATCGTTAGGAAATACAATATGGAAATAATAATTATACAACAATAAAAACTAAAATGTACGAAATATTTATCGCGAACAAACGGGAAGTATACTAAAACATCTTTTTATTTCTTTCCGACTGTTAGCAGGCATTAAAAAGGTCTCGTATCGTGGTATTTACTAAAGATTTATTTACGTGGTAAGTTTTTGTCAATATAATATAGGTATATATGTAGTTAATCAAAGTAAGAGATGAAATGAAAAAAGTTAGGTCTAACATTCTTAGTTCAGGATCGGGTTAGTTTATAATATAGTTTATTAATCGGGTTATTAATTCTCAATGTTTAACCTGCAGTAGATTCGCATTACAGACAAAACAACCTTGTCGACGTAAGCCAGTTTATATTTTTGTTTTAAATAAATAAAATGGCAAGAACAGTTCCGCAATATATGGAAATATTATGAAGGTATTTAACTATATAACAAGTAAAAGTCATAAATTTATATAAGTTAAATCGTTAGAAATAAAAAGCGAAAGACTAAGGTACTAGGAGTAACTTGACACACTGGTGTGAAATTAAAATAAATTCCTTATTTACTGTAGTGAGTTTATTTTTGTATACTTATGGCTACGTACGAATTGTTGACCACCTGCACTCAACAATGAATTAGAATTTTTTATAGAACATTACTCGTCGGACAGTAATCGTCTTTTGTTATTCTTTCTTTTTATTTATACCTGTCCCATCAGATCGCTTGTTTGGTCTTCAATTTAATAAGTTTTACATTTATGTAAATTTCAGTAATTGCATTTTATTGCGTGCTTGTATGTAGCGTAATAGGTATAAACCATTATCTTTTGGTAGGCAATGGCTGGAACGGAAGTTTGGTTAATATGGTTATCGATGAATTTTTAAAATTTCTTGTTGTTTTTACTTTTTCTTTAATCATTAATCCTTTTAAATGAATTCTCATTTACATACGTATTGGAATAATAAATTCTCAGTCTTGATGTAATAAATTAGAGTAGTAAATTCGGACATTGTTACAACGACCCATCAATTTCTTTTCACCACTTGTCACTTACAATAAATTTGAGCATGTGGTGAAGGGCGGATCCAGCTTTGGTGCCAGGGGGGGGTCACATAGTCGTGGTCAAGTGATAAGAAGTTATAATTTAATTTTATAATCATAGATACAAGTAAAAAGTAGGTATTTTAACCGATTTCAAAAAGAAGGAGATCATCAATTCGGATGTTTATATTTTTTTATGTATATTATGGCATAGCTTCGTCATATACAGCGTGTCGAGACGGATTTGCAAAATTCTTTTTTTGTTTGAAAGGGTTTCATTTCTAAATGGTCCCGTATAAATTTCATATAGATTAGATGATGATTTTCAGAGATAGCAACGGAACTCTTCGAAATATGACAGGAAATCAACCGTGTTTGCTGCTATCTCATGAAAATGCATTGCTTTGCATGTAACGAATTGTAATAGTACATAGATAATTTGATTTGAAGTCGGTTCTTTTTTTGTTAAAAAACTTTTTATATATACAGCGTGTCGTTACAACCGCGACAATAAATGAACACACGTCTAACGCTACTTGCCAATAATCATAAAAAATATAAGCGTTAAAAAAATCCATAATTTAACTAATTAAATAAAAATTAATCAAAATTTGGTGACAAATGACTGATTCATACATTCAGAGACTTTTTCATTCGTTGCCACAGCGTAGCATTACAAATCTCTCCTTCTAACAGTATGTTTTATCTCTTTTCAATTCATTCAACCCATTCATATGCTTTGTGACCTTTAAAAATGAACTTTACGTTACAGTTTATTCTAAAATTGTTTGTTTTGGAAAATTTTATAACTCTGTTAATACTGATGTTTAAAGAATGTAAATGTTTAATACAATTTTAAAAAGTTATCCTCTATATGTGTGTTCATTTATTGTCGCGGTTGTAACGACACGCTGTATATGTATGTAAGTACTTACTGTTATTGAAAATACCTATATTTAAATAACAAAATAAATTTTTCTTTTACGTCTTCTCCCGAAACGCGTTATCTGTTTAGGTTAGTTACCAGAAGTCCCACCTTTAAATTAGAGGAGCAGAGTCATTTTTAATTATTAGTATCTAGTCTCGGCAATTAGCACGTTTAATGGAAATAGTAGTAAATCGAATAGTTATTAGGTATACCTATTAAGTAATGCTTTAGGTATAGTGTTAAAATAAACAAAACGGTTTTAACTTTTTAAATATTTTATAGCCTTTAAAAATCTATAAAAGCTATATATAGTAAAAAAAAGTGGATTTTCGAAGTGCTCTTTCCTGAATAGTGCGTTTGGAATCATACAAAAATTAAAAAAAACTAAGTTTAAAAAAACCGACTTCAAAAACCAAACGGTACAAAATAACTTAATAAAGATTTAATTTAATACATTAATTAGTATTTTTTTTAAGTAGCTATTGATAGGCTTACTTATTTTAGAAATTTCTTTTTATTTATTTCTTCGTTACCAGATTTTATGTAGTCGTATTGGTTATAATATTTTTCAGTTTCTCTACTCCGCACGCATATCACTACCTTCCAGCTCCATCATTAGATCAGACCCTGGTAACAATCTTAAAATAAAGTACTAGCCAAGAAGAATCAAACGAGCCGAAACTCGATCTGGTTGAGTCGTTTCATTACAGAGTGGTCATAGGAACCTCACAGAATAGCCTCATAGAAGATCGGCGTAAAGTACTTCTGCGTTTTGTCTGGTGAGTGAGGTAGCCGGGGTCCACTTTATTATAAGGAGGAAACGCATCTGCCATCCTATGCATATGTCCATGGAAGGCTGAAGATGGAGCTCCATCATCAGATCCTGGTTACCAATGAAAGACAAACTACTCGTCAATACGATTAAAATATACCCAAACGCGATGTGGCTCTGTCGTTTCATGGCGAAAATCCTTTGGCCACCTTACAGCTCCATAATCAGATCAGCACCATGTCATAAAAATATTGCATTGTCCCGCGATTGAGCTAAAATTTTGTATACATGTGTAATGTATACAAAATTTCAGCTCAACCGCAAGTGAATCAAATTTAATTTGCAAGATTTGATGACAAACATTAAATATTGTAAAAATGTTCATAAAATGAAAACTACTTGGCCAAACTATGTTAAATTTTTATGGGACCAAATGGCGACTATTCTGCATAAAACTAAAGAAGAATCACGTAAATCGGATCATAAATCTCAACGTAATCGGTGTACATACATCGAAAAAATATATAAAAATATATATTGAGAAACTCCTCCTTTTGAAGTCGGTTAAAAATATTATATTAAATTAATTAGATATTAAAGGTACTTACATAAAATCTATGTATAATCTTGTTTAAAAATTTTAATTAGTGGTCCACCTAGGTCCTGGACCCAGCCCAGGGGGCATGACGCCCCCCCTGGATCCGCCCTTGGGTGAAGTGGTGTAGTGTGCTTTTAGCTCGTCGGCTTTGATATCTTTATCTACGGCACTGGGTCTGTCAACATACAACCAGTGGACTCGGTAGAAATATGTAGTTGATGCACCACAACGATACGATGACGCTGTTTTCTTTGCTGCATCTTCCGGACAGATCAGATCGATATTAACAATTGAACAATGAACAATTCCAAGAATAAAGTAATGAAATTGTTACTTTGTTATTATTGCCATATAATACGAATTGTCAACCCGTTCATATATCCGGTATACGCCGATGGGTCCCATTTGTTACTGTTTATTATATTGTAGGCATTGAGATCTATTTCGTTTATATAGAGATACTGTGATAGCGTAGTGTCCGGGCGCTCGCTATTAATTCAATATATTCGAGCTCAGAGTTCATATCCCGGTGCCGGTTCAAATGAAATTGTTAATTGTAATTTTTAGTGTTAAGTTAATATGTACTCAGAGGTGAAGGAAACATATAGGCTATTACTTTAATTTACCGCGAATAACGCTCTTGCTGCATGTTTGGCCAAGCGAATATTCGATTGCCGATTATGGGCGTTTCGCTAAGATTGAACTAATAACTCTATGTTCTACTGGCATATTAGTATATAAGTAGTGTGTAGGCTCAAAAGTTGCCATAACTTTATAAAGAGAATTGTCCAATATAAACAGTGAGGCCTTCCAAGCGCGGCTAATATACATACATTATTTTATCATCTAAACCAGAGTTCCCCAAACTTTTTTGTGTCGTAGACCCCTTGCCATGTTTTTCCGTGTTGGGTAGACCCCCTACTTACCTGATATTGTTTTCCTGTAAATTTCTAACTGTAGTGAAGTTTAGTGTTAAAAACTTAAAGTAAAAACACATGTTAATTTATACATTTATTAATTGAATTTAAATTAAAACTACTCAAAATAAAATTTTGTATCTGTTATGTAAAATATACGTAACATTAAATAAACATAAAATATTATAAGATAGTATGACGTAAGTAAATAGGTACTGTCAGTGTATGTGTTGAGATCCACTATCGTGGACCCCTTTTCACCACTTTGGACCACATTTTCATTTCATGGACCCCCAAATTTATTTTCGCTGACTTAGACCCCTTGCAGGTTGTCATAGACCCCTAAGGGTCGATATAGACCACTTTGGGAATCACTGATCTAAACTAAATTGTGATGTGAATTTGCAATAATAAATATAAATTATTGTAATTCACGTGATCTAACTTGGAATTTGGAGGAGCGAAGTATAGACGAACTAGCGAACCGTCCCTGCTTCGCATAGTTTCAATGTATTATACATATAAACCTTCCTGTTGAATCACTCTATCTAGTAAAAAAACCGCATCAAGATCCGTTGCTTACTTTTATAGATCTAATCATATATAGGGACGACTTTGTTTTATACTATGTAGTGATATTTAATGCATCACTAACATTAACACTAACTAAATAACCATTGTTATCTTCCTCATCTTATAATTTAATATTTACTTCATTAGTTATTCCACGATTCTTTATAAATTGTTAATTGAAGATTTTCATACCCGTAGATACTTATACTAATTAACTGTAGAGAAAACATGTTTATATTCATTGCAGCATATTGTATTAAAATTATCATAATTTGATATCTGTGTCCAGTATTAAAATAAACAAAATGGTAATTAAGAACAAAGTTGTGTATGGTGGACCGGCGTTGAATATTCCAGCGCACCTTTCTTTTGGCCAATACATTCTCGATAAATTCACGGAACATAGCGTCGAGGAGAAGAAAATTGCACTGGTGAGATATTGAGCCGTTTTCTAACACGTCCTCTCACACACAAATACACGTAAATATTCCGAGAGTCTAAAAGAACACTGCTACAGAATTATTCACTGGCTGTAATTACGGTGGTAGGGTCACGCAACAGCCTCGGCTGTTGCACGAATGGGCAGGCCCGTCCGGGTAAGTACCACGACCTCACAGAAGACCAGCGTAAAGTGGAAGTATGACAAATACTTTCGCGTTTCGTCTGGCGAGTGAGGTAGCCGGAGCCCAATTTTCAAAAGGTTGTCAACGCATCTGTAACCTTAGGGTGTAGCAGATGTCTATGTGCGGCGGTATTCACTCACAATCAGGTGATTCATTTGGCAATTTTTCAAATGAAAAAAAAATTGAAACTGGTTGGTAAGAAAAATACATTCAGAAGTTATATTTTCCATAAGGTTCACGGAGACACTGATCAAGTTACAACGTATCGGCAACTTCTTCAAGAAGTTGTCAGTGTTGCTAATGGTTTAAAAAGTCTTGGAGTAAAACGTGGTGATATCGTGGCGATTTGCAGCGAAAACAGATTGGAATTTATGTTTACTGCAATTGGAATTATTCTATGTGGTGCCACTGTTACTACTCTTAGTCCGCAATATGCAAAGGGTAAATCTAATAGATTTCAACTATTTCATTTCAACTATACATTTAAAAATTATAATTTACTTTGTTTACTAAAGTTTTAAAATTTTAGAGTTAATATATCGTTTTACAATTGTTACATAGTGAACTAGTTGTGTGCCTATCTTAATTTCGTTGGTCATCGTCAACAGAGATTACCTAATGGCCCCTGATTAAAATGTCATAATAGTTTAACTTCCAATAATAATGCAGAATGATGCAACCGCATAAAAAGTTTTACAACGTTGATTATAATGATACAATAAACATGCATGTTCATAAGATAAGCCGTCCGCTTATTTTTAATAAGGTGCGCTTTATTAAAATGAAATGAGGAAGGTTTTCATTGCTAAGTAATGTTTTAACTTTACGCCATTAAAAACATTATTTTTCAGGGGAAACTAAACATGTCTTAAACATTTCAAAACCCACTCTTCTAATAGCGTCCGAAGCAGTTTTAAAACAAAACTTATCAGTTTACAAGGAAGTGATGTTTATAAAAAGATTTATTCAAATGAACGGACAGCCTATTGACAATGGTATAATTTCATTAAAAAGTGTCTATGCTGAAACGGATCCTTTCGACTTCGAAGCGGAAAATGTTAAAGGTGCTATAGACACTGTATTTTTACTGTACTCTTCTGGCACCACTGGTCTTCCAAAGGGAGTAATGCTGACGCACGTTAACGCCTTATATGCCGCTACCGAATCACAGTACGTAATAAATTATTTAGAGCATTACATGAATAATGAGTTACATGAAATAATGAGTTACTAGTAAAAATACTTACATAATTAGAGATTATAATATGGTGCGATGCAAAGACTGGCTGCTTCAACGACATCGATGGATACCCTCATCGAGCCCTGGCAATTAATGATGTTAAAAATATTATTTACTTTCTCTTTTTACCACACTGGCAAAATATTCGGTGACAAGAAGAAAATATGCATCTTTAATTACATTAGTTATATTTGTTACAGTTAGGTGGAAGAGATTCGTCAATGATTTTTGTCGTTAGGTATATTTTTAGGACATAACAAGAGGTTAGGTAGGCGAACGATTTAATCTTAAAAGCGTAGTATTAATGAGTTTGCCGCTGTTTGTTTTTAACCATATGTGCTGAGTTTAACATTTAATAACCTCGACCTTATCGTCTTTCAGAGGCATCGCGGTTGACCACTCACACTCTTGTTATTTGACAGTGGTGCCATGGTATCACGCCTACGGTCTCATGACGACAATAAATTATCTGACAGTCGGCAAGACAATGGTGTACTTTCCAGGGTTTTACCCGGAGAAGTACCTGCGTGCTATAGAGAAATATAAGGTGGCTATGGTTTATTTCTTTTATCATCATCATTACAACCTGTTTAAGTCCAGGTCCACTGCCTACCGTAGGCCTTCACCACAAACTGCCACGAAGCAAGATCCTGAGCCACCTGCATCCATTTGACTTTAAGCACATTTCATGTACACAGTTCTTTCTATATTATCAATATACATATAATGTAATAAATGTATAAGATGTAAGATATATACATACACCTAACCATGGTGATTAGGAAATCTACGGAATAAAGAAAGGGATTACGTATTTGTTTTTGCACTTCTATTTTGTTAAATTAAAAGGTTAACGTTCGCATCCAAAGTCTGAAAATAAAAAGATACAACCCCGATTATTGTGTTAATCGAAAGTTAATTGTTCTGAACAGTAAAACGGGGTTAATGGAAATACTGTTGACTTTCGAATGCAATTTAACAATATAAATTCAATGTTTATATGGTATTAAAACAATAAAAAGTAAATTATAACCTTATTTATTTAAAAATGGCAATAATTATAAAAAAAATATTAACGTTAAAAAATCCATATTTTTTTTTCATACAAACTAATTAAGTAAAAAATAAACAAAATTTGTAACAACCTATACAACTCGCGCCACAGCGTCGCATTACAAGCCTCGACTTCTAACAGTACGTTTTATCTCTTTTAAATTCATTCAACCCATTCATATGCTTTGAGCCCTTTACAAATGAACTTTACGTTACAGTTTTATACGTAAGGATGTTCTAAAATTCTTCGTTTTGGAAAATTGTATAACTCGGTAAATATTGATGTTTAAAGAAAGTAAATGTTCAATACAATTTTAAAAAGTTATCCTCGATATGTGTGTTCATTTATTGTCGCGATTGTAAAGACACGCTGTAGATATATATAATCGGAATCTCGGAAACGGCTCCAGCGATTTTCATGAAATTTAGTATGTGCGTAGATTCGGGGGCGAAAAATAGGTTTCATTTTTAGAAAATGTTATTTTAAATATCATTCGAATATGACGGTAAATTTCGCCGTAAAAAAAAAGTTATAATAGCTCGGTCGGTAATCGGGCGGCCCCAAAACAGACGGCCGTGGTTCGTATCACGATCATTTCCACACTTATTTTTTTTATTTTTTTTTCTATACCTGATCATTGCTTTCTTTATTTTTTTTTTATTTCCAAAATACATTATTTACCAAAAAAAAAACGGTCCTCCATGTACTAACTGTTAAACGCGATATATAGCATACTTACGCAACTAATCAAATTGGGAAATTGTTGTTTTATGAAATCTTAATAATCGAGACTTAGAACATGAATGACCGTGAGGCTGACCCACCGGCCGCTCAGTGACCTGTTGAAGATCTATGCTCGGTATTTCGCTAAGGGATAAAACAGGAAACTGAAGCTGAAATGATAGTGGGCTGGTCACATCTGTTGTAAAATCGATGAGCGTTTTCCCTCTTCTGTTTCTCTCTATAAAACAGTGACCTTGATTTTTCGTATTCTTAGTCAATGTCCGAATAACAGACCTATGTTTTATACTTTGTATTTTTTAAAGACAGTATCAGGAGATAATCAATAGATTGACGGACTGCAATTATTATTAAAAACAACAAAATACGAAATAAAGATAAATTGCAACGGCATTCAATCCATCATAAATCCAAGAGTTGATAAAAATGTCAATGGGCGGGTAACAAAATTGCACAACTTACAATACAAACATTGCCTAAGACCCAATCCAATTCTTACGCAGGTCAATGTTCTGTTCACGGTGCCTCCAATTATCGTATTCTTAACAAAATCCCCCCTCGTGAACAATTACGACGTGTCCTCCGTCAGCCGCGTATGGTGCGCCGCGGCGCCGCTCTCGACCGACACCATAAGGAACGTTATGAAACGGTAATACCCTGATAAGTTCTGGAGTATGTTCATTGTAAGAAACGGAACTGAAAATTAATGAAGTAGTTATAGTTTAGTTCATTCCATTTTAACTGTTTCCAGTTTATCTGTTAAATCGTCAGCAATTATGCTGTGCAGTGTGCGCATAAATGATTTATTTTTTTAATAATCAAAAATTAAGAAAAAAATATTTAAAGTTCACTTCCGGCATTTCTGTCCATTGAAATAAATTCTTTAATCCGATCCGATGCAGCTATGTTCTTAATTAAAGTAATGCAGATTGTTATTAAAAGAAGGAGTTTTGCTTATTACAGATTCTGTTTTAAAAATAATCCATGAATTACGAACTAAAAAAAACGTCAGGACTCCGCGCCACGCGTATGGTAAAAGAAGCGTCGTACAATCTATGTTGGAGATATTTGATGGATACCAGATAAACGAAAATTTGCCTTTTTTATATTTTTGCCGGTTTATGCATTTGTTTTAATTAAACGGTACATAAAGTCCACTAACAAACCACAATTTAATTGGAATGACAAAAATATAGTTAAAATTTGAAAATAAGTATTTATTTTGTATGAATGACAAGAAAAACTAATGCTCTTCATACGTAATTCAATGATATTGTAAAAAAGTTACAGAGTTCAAACAATTACAGCAAATATAATTATTTTTAATTTCTTTTGGTATGCAAATCGTTTGCATCTAAATAGTAAATATAACGCTTGTTTTGGATGGAATCCAAATCCAATGTTCTTAACCTCTACACTTTCTTATAATTGTTATAACCAATCATTGTTCTATGGTTCCTTAGCTGTAGGAAGCCTATAAAAATAACTAATACTTGTCAAAATTTACAAAGAACACTATAAAATGGATTACCTAATCTCTCGGGGAAAATTACCCATTTTTTTATGGCAAAACCCTTGTTAACGTTTTGTGTTCCGATAGTAATGAATTTAAAATACTAAAGATCTACTACTCCTAGATCCTTTGACGCTTTTTCTGATATTTAGTACTATTGCTACACCATTTCACACCATAAGAGTGCATTAATTTATATTTATTACTTGATGTAAACCGCACCTATTTAGACACCATCGGGCCGTTTAATGGCGGGCGGTCGGTGTATTATTATGTGAATGTGTGTCAGATATGTATTATGTATGTACAAACCATCCGGCTTACAAACTATGCATCACTTTTACTACGCGTGGTGCGGAGTCCTGTTATTTGAGAGACGAGATGAGATCTTAACTTTAAGTGTGTTTTAATTAATCAGCGAAAGTAAAATTTTCATTGTATATGAACTTTATTGATACAGGCTTTTTGTCCACATTAGCTTGCCCAATTGCGAAGGGGTGTTACAAGGTTATGGAATGACGGAGACATCGACTGCGGCGACGAAAGATGTGGATGGGGACACCAGAAAACACAAGCCAGGAAGTGGTGGGCCCCCACTGCCCGGCGTAAAGCTCAAGCACACACACACACACACACACACACACACGCCGTGTCCCGTGCCCAAATCGCAAGACTGCGAATTGTTAATGAATTCCAAAAGCGATCAAATGACACTGACAAGCCGCCGTTTCGCCGTGATCCTTGATGTGATCCAGTTATGTGAAGTTAACGCTGAACGCGTTGACTGTACTAAACTAGGCCATCCACCTAGCTACTGGGACCGGAATGCACGGGTTTGACTAGAAATGTAACTAAAATCCTCACGGCTACCTCATGTTAGAATTCCAAACCTTAATTTAGACATACTTAACCATCTTGCTGATAAAAACCGCGTAGCCGAAAGGACCACGCAAGGGCTCAGTGCCATTGTGGGGCACATAAACCCATGTTGTGTACGCCATGAAATCAAATCGTTTTTACAACCGCAGGTAGAAATCTATCCTCTGTTGATCGCCATCTAGCGATAGAGGCGATAGTTCTGAAATCGCGAGTTAACCCGATGATTATCGATATTTTCCATGCAAGTACGATAGTCCTTATCAATTAGGTCGCAAATCTCATCATCCACAATAGTTGGCTAGTAAGAAGTCGCTTTGAATTTGTACTACTTCGCTGAATGTTTCAAGGAAAGTGGATCTTTTTGACACAAATCGGATGGCTGTCACCGGTCTTTACTATTATCACAAACCCTCTGTACTAATTACTGCCTATCTCTCACACAAAACCGTCAAATTAGAGATTAATGCCCGTTTTCACCATCGATCCCTAACTTTAACGAACACCTACAGAAAATTAAGTACTAGTTTCGCTTCACCACCGCTTAAGTGTCACGCTCGAGTCTTTAGGTAAGGGATCCGGAATCGATGGTGAAAACGAGCATGATTATCTAAGTGGGGTCTTAAAGTCACTATTTTCATCTTAATTGCAAACATGGGATTCGACAACCCAGCCCGGCACAAATGTAGAAAGCTTTTTAACTTCATAAGTCACCTAAACTGTAATGTTATCCCTTCCAAGACCCTAATCTAGATCAGCAACACGAAATGCCCAGACTACTACTAGTCTATGGGAACTATCTATGACAATCCGGGAAAGTGTGAGTTGTACTTGGGCACTGTGGGACCTTGTAAGTATGCAAATAGATCGTCCACCACAAGAATCGAGTCTCGAAGATTATTGCCGTTTTTTATGAGTAGGTATGGTTTAAGGTTTCTCCTCGAAATCATTATTATAAATATCATTATAAATATTTTATCACACATTTTTTTACACAACGTTCTGTAGTCCCAAACTAAACATCGCTTGTATTATGGGTGTTCTAGAAAACTGATAGACATACTTCAACATACTTTTCTTTTATAAATAAATACACATTATACATATATAAACACCCAGACACTAGAAAAACATCTTATGCTCATCATACAATATTTTTCCAGTAGTGGGGATCGAACCTACACCCTCTGGCGCAGAAGGCAGGTACACTACCGACTACGCCATTCGGGTCGCCAATCATTTCCTAAAACATATAATTACAATATTAGTGTAACGCGTATAATTTCAATAACAGCACTTCGTATTGCAATTGGAAATCAAAGTTATTTTATTACTTAAGTTACAGATTTGCAAGCGGTGACTGAATACAGAATGAATTTTACCACATTGAACACCGAAGTCGATTTTGTAACGTAATGCTTGTACATATTATTTTAATATTGATATGCTTAAATTCGTTAAGAAAGATAATATTCATTTACTTACATATAACAACTACGTATAGCAATGTACATTTAGTAGTTAAGTTACATTCTTCATTATATAACGTAACTGAATTTAAAAAAGCAAGAATATGCTCCAGTAATGTTTTTAATGGTGCTCCAGCACCAAACATTGCAGTAACGAAAAGATAAACTAGATTGAGGAACAAATTTTGTTTGGAAAACTGTCGTCCCGATATAGGTCGCGGTCGTAGATAACCAATTGTAAATAATTTTGTAATAATGTTATTACAAATGCGCAATGTTTTGATTTTTCCATTTTGCTGTAGTGTGAGATCTCGCTTCTTGCTAATCGATCGCACACTGCTCATTGGTAGTTGGTTCGATATATGAAATTAGTGCCCTGCGATACCCACACCGTTGTTAGTCCAATCTAATTATGATTCCCTTGCCTTCGGATTCGCGGAATGCCTAACGGATAGGTCCAATGTACGTCTGTAACTGGCAGCTATGGCAAATCGCCTAGTATGGCCAACCGATCCCTGGCGAGAAGAGGGTCAAATACGGGTCATACTCGTCTCCAGGATGTCTTTTTAACCGACTTAAAATTAGGAGGAGGTTTCGACTATATATGTTTTTCGACTATATATTTTTTTATGTTTGTTACCTCAGAACTTTCGACTTGTGAACCGGTTTTGATGATTTTTTTTATTTGAAAGCTGGCGCTTCCCATTTTCATGTTTATCGACCCAGTGATGGAAGGAAATGAAACTTTGACAGCATACTTTTTATACAAACAATTTATGAGAGCACTTGCAACCAAATAGTTCGTTTTCGCCTTCGAGCACTTAAAAAGCAAAGTGACACGTAGAAGGTATGTGTGTTCCGGGGACTACAGTTCGCACCGAAACACGACATGTCCGATCCGAGACGACAATTCCTTCCCTAATAGATACGGCATTCATGAGCACCTACACATCCCTACCCAATTAGGAGGGCCGTATTAAGCTAATAGAATCTTGCTACGAGGTCTGCGTTCAATGAAGTTTTTACATTCTACGGACTGAAAATAACCACAAGTCACCTAAAGAAAAGACTATCGTGGTACTACTCCTCTTATTATTATATTAAATGTCAAATATTATTTGGCTTCTCAAGGTCGTCGACGTGGAGTCCAGAAAAAGGTTAGGGCCAATGGAAACTGGAGAGATCTGTATAAAAGGCCCGGTTGTGATGAAAGGCTATATGGAAGATGAATCGGCCAATCGCGGAATCATAGACGAAGAAGGGTTCCTAAAGACCGGAGATATCGGCTACTATGATCACGACGGATACATATTCATTGTGGACAGGATCAAAGAGCTCATCAAATATAAAGGGCATCAGGTGAGTCGGATTCATTTTTATATAGCAACGAAAACAAAAGGAACGACGAAATCATGCATTATAGGTTTTATTTTTTACCTATTATTAAGTTGGCTGTTATTCATTATCGCCACATTCATTTCAGCCTGTTAGAGTCGACTGACGAAAATACCCTCAAACAGACTGACACCAAGTAAGATCTTGAGCCACCCGCATCTATCGAATTCCCGCATATTCTCGTCGAATATTGTGATGGTTATCCGTTCTACCAGCAATATAACCGACCTGTTTCAGCTTGTAAGCTGATGCAAATAAATAGCTCAGAAGATTAGTAAGTCTTCTGAGTTATCTTCTTCTATCTGTTTTATCTTAAGTATTTGGTGTTTTTCTTTATTCTTAGGAATTTTGTAAAATAGTCTTTGCCCGGTGGAAAATTGACAACCAAATCTATTAATTCTGTATTTTTATACATATAAAAAAGAAGTATACTTTGTTATCTACAATTTGTGCTGATGATTGCTTAGATTAATTTATTCTTGGGTAATCAAAAGAAACGATCATTTTACAATAGATCCATCACGCAACAAATCAATTACAATATCGTTACAAGGGAAGATAAAAATAGACACTCCATAGAGTAAACTTGCAAGTGCTGTGGTAATAACGCTACATGGTTAAATGAAATTATTGCACGGATTTTATTATTTTAAATTTACATTTCGAACACTTCCACGTGCATGGTCACCGGACTATTTTAAAATCATGAAAAGCTTTTTAACAAAAAAAGAACTGACTTCAAATAAAATGATGTACGTAAATGTTACAACGTTACATGCAAAACAATGCATATTTATGCGATAGCAGCAATCGCGGTTGATTTCCTGTCATATTTCGAAGAGTTCCGTTGCTATATCCGAAAGTCATCATCATATCTATATGAAATTTATATGGGACAATTTGGGAATGAAACCGTTTCGAACAAAAAACGAATTTTGCAAATCTGTCTATATGCTATATAGCGAAGTCATGCCCGAACATACATAAAAATATAAATATTGAATTGATTTTTGAAGTGGGTTAAAAATGAAACTCGATAAAATACGTAAAAGAGTTAAATTTTGTAGTAAAAAGGAGCGAGAAGTTTCTCGCCGCCGTGGGAATCTAGGGAGAGTCTTCGGGATGCACGCCCTGACGCTCTAGACACTAAGCTAAATTCATGATAGCCACACCGACGAAATTCTCAACGTTATTGATGTACATTGTTTTTTAGCATTTGAAGCAATGCTTGGCGCATCATTGTTATATTATTTCCAGCATACAAACAATTTCGAATATTGTTTTACAACGATAATTCTAACGAGAGATGTCGCCATTGCTTTTTAGAAATTTAAAACCGAGATTTTCCCACAGCGGCTAGAAACTTTTCGTTCGTTTTTTAAAAAAAAATTAAGTGCAGACTAATATATAATATTAGCACTATAAAAATTTAAATTACGTAAAAGAGTCTCATTTAACCATTGATATTATTTGTTTTTTAATGGAATATGATACAGTTTTTAATTAATTACATGTATGCAAATGGCGATCGAGATTTATGCCAGCATTAGTGTTCCCGTTTGATTGCACATAATGTCACTCACATTATTCTATTCTTAAAGACAAGAGTAAATCGGCGGTTAACACTTAACAGCAGTTGATCCGCCAGCTCGCTTGCCACCTTTTCTCACAAAAAAAGTAAAGCGCTAGCCGGTTTGTGGGAAGTAAAACATGCTCGTGGGAAGCTCCAACCGAAATATCCGAACATTTCGCTTCGTAGGTGGCCCCTGCGGCGGTGGAGAGCGTGGTGCTGCAGCACAGCGGCGTCGCGGAGTGCGGTGTGGTGGGGGCCCCTGACGATTACGCCGGCGAGCTGCCCACCGCCTTCGTCGTGGTCAAACCGGGCAGCCGGGTCACCGCGCGGGAGCTCATCGAATTCGCCGCGAGCCGCGTGAGCAATAAGGCTTTCATGTCATCGATATTTAGGAGACCCTTTGTAAAGTGCAGGGAAATGACCCCGTGGCGCATTCGCCAAGGGATTCGATTCCCACACGGGAAAACTATTTGTGTGATCCACAGATAATCGTTCGGATCTGGTTGTTTGTCCATGTGAAATTTATGTATTTAAAACGTCCTTGCAAGACAAGGATAGTGTTATCCTAAAATAAGGGCAATGATTTTTAAAAAAGAAATAAAGAAGACCACGGTAGGGAAATCCAGTATAGGTTGACAAGCTAGTCTATGTGTCCCACGGCCTTTGTACAACACATATAGGCTGCTAACCCATATATGTCCCACTTTTGGGAAAAGACCTCTTCTGTTCACTGGGTTTTAGAACATAATCCCCAAAGATGATGATGCGACCCCATTGCAGATTGGCGGATTTCACATATCTTCGCAGGTTTTCTCACGATGTTTTCCTACACCTGAGCATGGATTAGTCATCACTTAAACAATTTCATTGGTACCGTCCCCAGGATATGAGCTCGGGTTGCTCGAGTATGTTGAATTAAAAGCGAGTGCCCAGACACTGAGCCATCACGGCTCAAGAGTTGTGTATTCCTATAGATGGCTTCGTTCTTCAAACAACCTTTAATTTAGTGTCCTCCCTACAACTAAGGCCAATATTTCTTTTTCTGTCAAATCTATAATTCTTTTTAGTGCACTTCCTTTCGAAATTAGGAGGACTACCAATTTTTATGCGTGTAAGATCAAAATACCGAAACTGCTTGTGAATAAGTTGGCAGATAAATAATATAGCGTCATATAAAAAATGTTTACGTAAAATAAATTAATATGCTGTTTTCTTCGACTTTCGCTGCTTGAAGATCCCACGATTTTTTGCCTATGATCGTCAAAGCTTGCGTTAACTTCTCTTACACCGCTGTCTCACGCAATATTTATGGGACCCTAGTCCAAGCGCGAAATAATGACATTATCGCAATTTATGTGCCGAAGACTGAACTTAAATGTGTTCTTGCATATGTGTTTAAGTACCAGCAAACATACCGCACATGCGGTCAATCTTCCTGCCGTCCGCTTACTAGACCTAAAGAGTATTACCATAGACCAAAATTAGACTTAATAATCATAGACAATGACGTTTTAATAAAGCTGACGCATGTCCATACTTTTTTTTATGTGAAAAGTTGCCAAGCGAGCAGGTGGTTCACCTGATGTTAAGTAAACCACCGCCCATGGACATCTGATACACCATGCGTTGACAACCTTTTGAAAATTGGGCTTCGGCTACCTCACTCACCAGACGAAACGCGAAAGTATTTGTCATACTTCCACTTTGCGCTGGTCTTCTGTGAGATTGTGGTACTTACCCGGACGGGCCTGCCCATTCGTGAGACAGCTGAGGCTGCAGCATGGCCCTACCACCGTAACACTGCCCGGCATTTAAAAATTGTTCCGCTTTACATTATATGATTATATATAAGTATAAAAGGAAAGTGAATATTTGAAGAGTTCAGTTCGCTAATATCTACCTCGAATTAGTAGGTATATCGAAGAGAGAGAACTAAAAATCGACTACTGTACAATCGAATGCATTTTTGAAGATGTTTGCCGTTTATAGTATATTATTAGTATACTGCTTCATGTAGTATAAGTAGCCACAATACTTAAATGTAGTTTATGTAAATGGTTTTTTTTCTATCCTATGCCTACGACCCGATTGGCGTAGTAGGTGAACTTGCCTCTTGCGCCAGTGGAGGTTCGAACACGGTTAAATCTGAAATATTGTTAATTATTATACAACATAGTTAAACAAGCGAAGGTTATATAATAATAACTCTCCATGACTTAGCAGTGTAATGACACTGCACAAGTACTTATTCAATAGCTATTATTTTGGCAATATTTTTGTACTCTCCTAAAACAATAGACATAATGTGTACATTTTTCCGCCGTTTCGCAATTGCAAAATATGGTCGGCAAAAATATAAATATAATATATTTAAATAAAATATAATTATATTAGATATAAATATAATTGCAAAATATATAAAGGGGTACTTCGGTCAGGGCCGGGGCGGCATCGGAGGCAGCTGAAGTAAGTAAATGGCGCAAATATGAGTCTTTATGTTTAGATTATGTATTTGTGCCATTTGATGTTGAAACTTTAGGTCCGTGGGGTCCCCGCACATAATTTTTTTTTAAAACGTTTATGTCCTAGGCTTAACGCCGCGGCTGGTGACAAGAGAGCTGGTTCTTTTCTCGCTCAAAGGTTAAGAATAACTATTCAGCGAGGAAATGCAGCTAGCGTTCTTAGCCTTGCCGCGTGGATTAGGTTTATTAGATAATATGTAATTTTAGACAGATTTAAGGCGCTGTATGCAGTGAATTTTTGGCTATTTGGGTGGTGTAGTATGAGGAAGCGGAGGAGGGGTAACGCCGCTTAGCGGTGCGCAGCGCGCGAGTTTCGTCGACGCGCCGCTAGACCACGTCATTAATTACCTAGGACCTAGTGTGTGTGTAGTGATGCGCCGTAGGATACTATCGATAGTATCATGGAAGGCTTTCGAAAATGTACACAGATGATCCCTATAATAGTTTATTATTATATTTTTAATTAATTGGAAAAGGAATTGATTAAAAATACATCTTAAAGTTAAATAAATTAATAAAGGCAAATTACTTATAATTATTATTTTTTTCTTTTTATGTTTATATTGTGATTTAAAAGAAATGGATCATAAAATTTTTGCAGAAATTACGAATACAACTTTTTTATTACATTTTTTTTATATATTAGGAATTTTAATTTATCCCTTAAATGTTCAAGACTTACTATGTTATATTACTTTCTCAACTAAAATTAAATTTAAAAAACTATCGATAAAATCCTTATTTGTATCGATAAACAGCAATTATAACTAGAATCGAAATTTTGTCGCTTTCCACAGACCTCGCGTAGCCTGTTGGCTCGAGCGTCATACACAACGGTAAACTATTGCTGTAGTCCCAAGTTCAAACCACTCATCGAGTGGAGTTGTATTTTTTTATATTATTTTGACTTTTAATTTGTTACCCAACTAATTATTTTGTTTTAATTTTATAAAATGGCTCAATTTGGGAAATAAAGAAATAAAAAAAATATAAAATAATTATTTTTCGTGTATAAATAAATTTTCGTTTTAGGGTGAACACTTAAATAAATTAATAAAAAAATAGATGACATGTTAAAATTTTAATACTAAAAGTTAGTTTATTTACCGATAGATAGTTCTCCAACTGTTTCAACTTTGAATAAATACAATAATATTTCGTTGTAATTATTTATAAAAATAAAAAAATCAACAACAATTAAATGGTAATTAAGAAATACTTCCAAATAAGAATATCAACAATAAGTACAACAAAAAATTTAGGGATTTGAACCCAATCCATAAAGAATTTTGGTCCTATACACTGTATGTATAGGACTCATAGACCAATCAATCACGAGATAAGACATTGAAATTATGCTTTAATAAATTAATTAACAACTGTTAATACATACAAATAATTTATAAATACGAAATATGTGAATATTTATTTTTTAGTTTCGTGTTTTCGAAGGTCTAATAAAATTAAAACTCTCAATAATAAATAAATACGAAAACATATTTCGTAACGGTGAGCGGGGATGAGCGGCATAGGTCCATCTAGCAAGGCGCCTCAGCGCTCTCTGTTCAATGTGTGGAGTTGGAAGAGGACCGAAACAACGCCGCGGTGGCGCGGTGTTTTGGCCATCGCGTTCGAATTAATTTTAATGAATTAAATTAATATTTACAAATATCTTACTTCAATCAACAAATTAAGACAACAGTCCTTTTTATTAATATATTCTACACCACTGATATTAATTTCATTAAGAGTTGTTCATTCATTATATCTATTTTTTTATTTGATTTTCACGTTTAAGGGTAGGTTCGTGATTTTTTTCTATAGAGAAAATATATCGAGAATATGTTTTGAAAACAATGGTCCATTAGAATGTAAGATCAAGATTAACATATATTTTTTTGCTTCTATAAAATGTATTGATTGATGATGTATTGATTTTGCTAAAAATTATTTGAAAAACCTGTTTTTACTGCATACTGCGCCTAAATCTTGTAAATATTAGATCAATAAAGTCATCATATATAAAAAAAAAAATATCTAGTCGTATATTTACCAGTCAACTTATTTACTTATTGCCGTACTCTGACAGGAATGTCTTCTCCGTAGCGTACTCTACTTTCGTAGAAAAATAGATAATTAATATAAACGATTCCAAATTTTAAAATGTCTGATAAATTAGTTTTATAGAAAAAATAAAAGTAAACCCTACTACCTACTATACTAAATTTATCTCACTGCAAGGGATATATAATTATTCGGCCTAGTCAGACTTCACATATCTTGGAAAAATAATATTTTAATTTACATTTTAGACGTTATGTATGACATGTTAGTTAACTGCCTCGCACGTAGTATAGGAGGGCTTAATTTTATTTTAAGGTATTTTGCAAAACGAAATTGAAAAAATACTAATTGAGCCTAAGAAATGAACGATAAAAAACATTCATGGTAGTCAATCAACAAACTTACTGGCCGGCAAGAATTTTATTAAAAATTAAAAATGAATTGGTATAAACCAATACACGATGATTTACAAAAATGTATATGTACATTATCCAAAAGCATAAAAACACATGTACGGAAGTTAAAGAACTAAACTTTTATCGATTCTATACACAAATATAATAAATTAGTTATTATAATAAATTAGTTATTTATTGTTATTTTCAGTTGTCACCAGCCAACCATCTCCACGGAGGTGTGATATTCGTAAAGGAGATACCGAAGAATCCCTCTGGAAAAATATTACGTCGTGTTCTTAAGCAAAATTTGCAAAAAAAACGTAAGAGTAAGCTGTGATAAAACTGTATAAAATAAACCTTACCATTTTAGTGATCACAATATTATAATTCATATTATAAAGTCTATTAATAAACTGTTGAATTTTGTATTGGTTTTGTTTATGCCTATATTTATGGAAATAGAAAGACTGAATTTTGTTTGTTACTGTAGGTTACGCTAGATTTTTTTTAAGCAAGTTGTCATATTAACATATAAAATAATTAATAAACTAATAGCAAGGTCTAGTTTTCAAATATTTCATTGCAAAATGTTATATGAAATGTAAATGTTGCTTTGACATGAATTTATTGCAAACATCATCAGTCATCATATACGTGAAACAAAAACCTTGTACCCATTTTTAATAAAATTGCGCGGACGGTGGAAGATGAAATTTCCCACACTTATAGTTTATACAATAGTGATAAACATAGCGAAGGAGTGCAGAAAGCCAATATTTTTTTAAAGTTATGCACAAAAAAATACATTAAAAAAACCGTACACCACTACATGATTATGGTCGAATTTCGACCGCCGCGCTACCACTACTTGAATTAAATCAAGTAACTGTAGTTGGTGTACGTGCTTCTTTAACGTAGAATTTCTACTGGTACGTAATTTAATTGAAATTTTGTGTTAATTTCAATTAGTCACTTGATAATAAAATCTGTTATCTGTGTAGGTATTGTAATAAATAATTAAAGAAGAATATCACATTTGTGACATTGATCTTAATCCTAATAAAAATAGCTCTAACTATCACTCTTGCTTCTTCAACATTAATATCGCACCTACTAATATAATTAATATAGTTGTTTGTTGTTATTTTCAATCAGGCACTAAATAATAAAATCTGTTTCCTAAGACTGCCCGCGTCTTTCAAAAGGTGCCATCAAAATTTTATTTTTAGTGAAAATTGTTTTTTGTATTTGATTGTTAGCGCTCCTTGATACCTGGCGCTTAGAGTGACCACTTCTCTTGCTCTATCCCTAGAAACACACTAAATGGCGCCAAACTTTGCTTAAAAGTGTAATAAAACGGTTTTCATCGGTTTGAAGATAATCTGCTAGAATAAAAAAAAATCTTTCTATATAATGTTACTTGTGTATGTTCGTGTCAACAAAACTCAAAAGATAGTCGATGGATGGACTTTATATTTGTACACAAAAGTTCCGTTTTTATATACTTTTTATTCGAAAAGAAAAAAAGCCACAGCGAAGCGGGGCCGGGTTCAGCTAGTAATGATATAAGGAAATTAAGTGCTAAAGCAGCAAGCTTAGCCGTATATCCGAGTATGTTCATTATATCATACAAAACTCCGTCGGCCGCTTTACCAGCATGATTGATTGCACGGAGCAAAAATAAGTTGGTATCCGATCACTTTATACCGGTAACATATTGGGGTCGCCAATCCAATTATCTCTAATGGATGAGTGAACTCCCAAAGCTCCAGAGTGGGTGGTACTTGGTAAAATTCGGAAATTTGATAAGCTTGTTTGGGTTGATGCCCAAATGGATTTAAATGCGCACAAAAAGTTGATACCATTTGTACGCATTTAAATATGGACCCTAACATTTTTCACATTATTATATATTTTTTCATTATTATGTGTTTGAGGATAAGCAGAAACGCAAAACAAGAAATACTTTGAATCTGCGTCCGGTATTATAGCTGTGGTAAATTCGATGTTGATTTAAAAGAATGTGACTTCGCGGTAATAAATGAAGATTTTTCCTGAATAATATTGCACCAGAGTTTAACCTTGAGGATAATAAGGGGGACAGACATAATTGTATAACGCAATTGTTCTTATTTTGGTTTTAACAACGAGCACGTACTTGATAATTTAAATCTCGGTAATTTGGTAGGAGATTACAAATGTAATCCGGGCTTTAAGTGGCTACTTTATCGACCGATGTAATGTTCTTGGAAGCAAAAGGTAGGAAACCGAACATGTCAGCACGGCAAGGCTTCGTAACATCAGTACCTTTGTAATTCTATAATCCCTCTTCTGGGTCACAAAATACGTCCATAACCCAATTCATGTAAATGTATTTATAGGTACTTGGGCTATGTTCAGATGTGTGTGAAAATATAATATCATTAGCGCGCAGTTGTTATAGCCAGCAGAGGTAGGAAACTGTGAATAACTGTGAAATGATTGCAAAGACTACAATTATAGGTACCTAAGATTAAATTGCAGTGGATCACCATAAATGATTTATTTTTGGTCCAAGTTAACAGTGTTACATATTGCAGGTTTGATAGTATATCATCAGCCCATGGAGATTCGATACGGACTGTGACCCTGATGACCTTTGACTCTATGGCACCAGCTGTGGTGATGAGTACAACCGAACGAACGCGGGAGAACCTTGTGAACGCGTTGTGTTGGTTTCGTAGTCGAGGACTAACTAATAGGTTATGTATATTCCCCGAGGGAGATCGAAAGGTTCTACGGACAGTTATATACCTCGATCGCTAAGCCTGTTTACGATTTGTATCCAAGAGCCGATGTCGAGCTATGTAAAAATGATATTTACTAATGTCTAATATATCACAGTTTAATAATGATATTCACTCTTGTTCTTTGCAATGTAGGAACAAAGCAAAGGCGGAGAAGTACATACTAGGAATATAACACACCATTACACCATCAATCTCTACGTTCGTTTTAATACACTTTACTTAGCTTATTTCTTAATTATTGTTTTAGATACCTTTTGTGGGTATGCTGGGGTGTCCCAGAAGTAAAGAGACAAATCAATGAAAATTTTTTATAATGAAAAATTGTATGTCAACTGTAATGTGCTGCTTGCGGAACTCTTCAGCCGACGCTGTCGAAGCCGCTGGGCTAACAGCAAACTACCCGTCACAAAAATAAAAAAAGTATCGGATCTAGAATTTGAATAGAAACCATTTAATCAAGACATCATGCAACACATCAATATATAAATTAAATACATAGAGTTAACATATACAAATAAATAAGAGCATAAAATGAAACACAAAAGGAAAAAAATAGAAAAAGAAGACCTAAGAACCGTAGATCTAGGTGTTAGTTCTGGTGAAATTTATTTATTTTTTAATGTAACACACCTACTCATGCAACAAAAAACAAAAGCCTGGCACGTACTTTATGGTGTCAAAATGATATGGATTAAAATTTACATAATTTCAGATATTAGTTACATACATCATTGTACTACGAAGATTTTGTTATATTAGTTTATATAACGAACACGTTCTTGATAATGTTATGTATAAAAATAAAAGTTAATAAGTGCCTAATAAGTGTTTAAAACAAGTTTTAAATAAAAGACACTAATTACAGACAATTTATTAAATCTTACATGCAAGGTAAGATGTTATTATTTTGGTAGAGCTCATTTGGAGCTAGTCAGAAGCATTTGCTGTCACATAAAAGGGTTGGTTAGACAGTAGAAGTACAGCTTTAGAAAAAACCAACATAAAGAAGAAAAAATACATGGATAACAACATTTTTATTTCGTCCGCTGAGGGAGTTAATCTAAAACCCAATCTGTCAAGTCAAACGGCCATTGGCCTTTACCGTCGGAATAACCACTTTTCAAAGTTTACATTACCGCCGCACTCATAGACTTCAAATATCGCTAAACTTTAATTTAATTCGTTTATCACACACATCGGTATACTTAGCGGAACATTTTCATTTAAAGACATAATAATTAGATATTAGGTAGCAATTAAAGTAACTTCTATTTACATCCATTTTGTACATCTCACCTTAAATTTTATTGCTAAAACAAGATTAAACAAAATGTATGTTTTTATATTTGTGTGTTTTTATGTTTATGTAATTCTGCCCATAATTACACCGGTGTGTATGAATGTTGTTCATTATAGGTTCACTATAGATATATGTACATAGATGTCATTATAAATAATTTCTAGTGTATTTTCTAGTGTAATAGATTTTTAAATAATGCAAAAACTTTTAAGTACCTTCTAAGAGAGTTATTGAAAAATATAAGGTTATTGAAAAAGTTGACTCTACCACCAATTTTTGTCTAAATATAATCCTCATCGCTTTCGATAATATTTATCAATAATTCAATAGGCCCTGTATGTTTATAACTTTAGATTATTAAATTTTCATGCTATTGAAAGTTATCTCGAAGTGTGTTATTTATAATTGGTAGAGTTTGCTCCGTTTAATAAGTTGATGCTGGTATTCTATATAATGTGCTTTTTATCGTTGTATTTAACCAACAGAGAGATGTAATTACTCTAGTCAGAGAATGTGAATGCCAGAGGATCCGCCTTATAAGAAATTATGTTTATCCTTATGGTTTAAATTTTAAGTGAACGTCAAAAAAATTTACGCTTTATACTATACTACTACTTATACTAAAAATGAAAAGAAAAATCTTTTTTTATTACGGTTTTTGATGCTTTACATCATACGGTCTTTACCGGGTTGTGGCCGAAAATCCTGATCTTGTTTACGTATTCATGTTTACATATACTCTACGACTGTAGTCTATCAAAACCGCAGACCCCGTAGATTGGGTTCTGGTACCATAGAGGTTTAATATAACCTTAGGAATTTAAGCGTAATATCACCCAAGACAACATACCAGAGTGTTAACCGGGTTATCGCTTTTACCTCTTTGAAGAACTTGACGAAACCATCATTTTAATTTGATAAAATGTCTTACGAGCACAAAAATTTCAATGTCCCGTTAATAATTATAAAAAAATTGAAATGAAAATAAATAATCTGAATTCGTGAATTTAAACCGACATCGTGATGCTGTTCAAAGAAAATAAACAGAGATCTCAGCCTGACCGCGTGGCGTCTTTAAATAATAAAAATCTCGCTATGGGTTATATCATGTTTTATAACTGTTTAAAGGTAATGTGCCAATCTCAAAAATAGTAGATCTTACAAATAAATATTCGCAAATATCATTAGGAACAAGACATTGTTTTTCTGATAAAGTAACCAAACCAATCTTAATTTTAAAATATGTAGAAAAAAAATCAATCTTAATTTTCTCGTTGTTAATTTGAGACATTAGATCGAAATAAACGTGACCTATTTCGGCCACTTCCGTGCCATCGATGGATCTCAAAATCGACAGCGTGCAAGCATCTTTAGTGGTGTATAAAATTCAATATGTCTTGTGGCATTCGTACGTCCGTGACGCGCGTAGTTAATCGTTTTAGCGCGGGAGCAGTGCGCCGAGCGGCGGCGAGTCGCCACGGCGGGCGCACTCGCTCGGCCCATCCGCGGATCGGCACACGCGGGCACTTGACAGCGGCGCCGTTTCCAACCGTACTCAACTAGGGAGGTGGACGGTGCCATGTGCGGGTAAGATGTCGGGCAGCGCTCAGAATGAGGAGGGCGGCAAGGAGGACGGCGGTGAGGCCGGCCGCGACATGTACCGCCCGAAGAGCGTCAGCACCGTAGTGCGCGTGCTGACAGTCTTCGCGTACCTGTTCTCCGTGTCGCTGGCGGCCATCCTGCTGTCCGTTTACTACGTGTGCGTGTGGAAGTCGCCCGAGCTGCCGCCGCTGGAGAACGCCCGGATAGGCATCAGCGCGCGCCGCGGCGAGCAGCACGAGTACCTGCAGAACTTCACCGAACACGGCGCGTTCGACTATCTGGGTACGTTAAGCAGCAGTCATTGGTCATCGCCGACTCCCATTGTCGTTGCTTCGTTTTCCTTTCAACCGGTCGAGGAGTCTACTGCTGCGACGAGCAGTATACCTATTCAGTAGAAAAATTAACACCCAGAAATCCAAATACAAAAGCTTTGTTGATGTTACAAAATCAATCCATTTATCTTAATTTATTTTATAATAGTATATGCGTAATACGAATTAACATTAATATGTTTATTTTTATATAATATATTCTCTAATTCTTCAACCTTTTAAGCTTACAAATAAATGTGCAGAGTAATATTTAATTAAGTATTAGTCCGTATATCTCAGCAATAATTTTAAAAAAACCTTTTATAAGTCACATTTGACATGTAACATTACTTTGGCAATGTTTCAGTCAAACAGTTAATGTTCATTACTATTATACTTCCTATTTAATTAATTCCCAGTACTAGTAATCATTAAATGAATGAGCCTTGCCATTGTGTATAATTATATTAGGTAGTCGGACGAAAATGTTTGCAATCATAATATCCCTTATGGCTAATTGGAACGCACAAAATTAAATGGTGCGATTGTAAAGGTAAATAGGTAATTAATAAGAATTATTTTGCGTAAAAGGGTTAAATTCCATAAACAAGAACACGTTTTTTAGTAATTAACATTTTATGCATAAAAATCATTTACCATTGTTGCAAAATATGATTTAATAAAAAACTTTATTATGCAATAATAGGAGGATCGGTAAATTTAGCAATTTCTTTCTTTTACAAATCCTTTTCTCCTTCGTTAATGGCTCGGATACTACAAATTAGTACCGGGACCCCAAAAAGGCCAATTATTTAAAGAATTTGTCAGCTTATACATATAGAACTATTGCTTTAATGGAATAAACATAGTATGTTGAAAAGATTCCTGTACTTTTCACACACATGTACAGAAAAATTATATAGTTATGTTAAGTAGATAATTACAAACAGGATATTCCTTTGGATATCAGGGGGCATAAGTTATATGGGACAGGAGAAAATTATATTTTTTGATAATAATTAAAAAGGTATAAATTTCTATTTAAATTTTGAGAAAGGATATACTTTTAGTTTTTTTACTATTTTCGGTATATACAGTATTTAAAAAATCTTTTTTTAGGATAATTACATCACCTTTAATCCAAATACGAATACGCTATAGCCTGTTTTAAAATGCTTCTTTATACATATGTAAAACAAATAATGATATCAACGGAATTTCTAAAACACGGTAATGAATTAAATATCCACTGTAGTTCAATAATCTTTTAACAGTAGTACTTCGTTGCAATATATTCAATTGCATGTATATATAAATAAACAGATTAAAATTAAACATATCCATCTGGAATTAGCCCCAGAGCGGTAGATAGTATCCACCACCAGTAATAATCATAACCTATGCATACTTACTAATAACTTGCAAGATTTGCAGTTGCAAAAGTTGGCTTGCAAACAAAATGTGCGGGGGACAGGTCGAGGGTAGTAGAGGTGTAGACACCCTCCCTGTCCTCTGCGACCGAGGTAGAGTTGCGCAGGAAAAGGAGTGTCGGTATTGCGCCTATCTCTTTCCTCCGCTACTCGGCAGGGCTGCACCAATGATAATGATGCGGTGGTGGTGGGGCCGTGGCGGGAGGAGTGTCGGTATTGCGATACACCGTTCTCCCTACGATTCGCCGACCAGATCCGCTGCTGGGGGCTGGGAGTCTTGCTGCTTATTAGCACTGGCTCTCCTGACTCCCATTCTTCCGGCTTCTGGTCAGAGAACTCAGGGGAGTTCATTGGCATCGAAAAAGGGCTGAGTAGGAAGGCGCGCTTAATGTTCCAGCGTTCCTTACGTGGAAGAGAGGGGAGTTGTACCTCGAGAAGGGGCTGCTAAGGCGGCCAGTGCAGGCAGGGCCGCGGAAGTGGGCGAAAGCGTTCCCGTGGCCCTACCGATATGCGCCTACGTGGAATATCGTGGCGGTTTTAGTCGCTGCGAGACCGACATAACCAGTCCTTGCCCTAGCGATGGCGGGTATGTGTAGGCCCACGTTATCAAAAAAAATTAAAAACCTAGTTAGAGAAAAGCAAATTAGTGTTTGTGGCACCGTGTCATGAGCAAAATGTATTATTTATTATTTGTGTAATTTTTTTACTTTGATCTGGCAACGTCGCAACTTTTGCTGTCACTCGAATGGGATGGCTCGTCCGGGGAAGTACCACGGACTCACAGAAGACCAGTCTAAAGTAGAACTATTATGCTTTTGCTTTTCGATTACTGTGTGAGGTAACCGGGACGCACAAAGCTCCAGGTGTTTTAAATGTCCCATGGGAATGACATTCACTTAACAATAAGTGAATGGTGTCAACCTAAACAAACATATATGAAAAAACAACAGTAAGGTAAAGGAAGAAATATGTGGTAATTATTATTTGGTTTAATTGATTGTTTATTGTTTTTGTTTTTGTTGTACTTCACACAGTTATGTAACAAACTATTTCTTTTTATAATTCTTACAGCATAATATAGTGCTAGGAAGATACCGCTTATTGCGATGCAGTTATTAAAGATCATATAAAAAAATCACGGTACAGTTTTCGGTGTGCCATTTCGGAGCGACAATAATGCTTACATGTTATTCACTGATAAGAAACGATCATAGTTTGTCTATGTACATGGCTGCAACGTCAAAAATATATTTATAGATGAAAGAAATCCAAAAAACGTAAAGCCGGTATTATAACAGCGTCTTAAAATATTTTTAGTACATTGTGAACATTGCATAATCATATCTCCGTCTCTGGATTAAAGGTGAAATACTAGACTTGAGAATTTATCCATGTATTTACTAAGCCGGTGAAACAGCCGCCATCGAAGCATTTACAGAATTACTAGTTTGGGCTCGAAGGGTTTCTTGATCCAATTACTTATGTTCAATTGCGTCGACGTGAGCATTAGGCTCCTTTATTTTAAATCATTTCAAATACCTAATGCTATATTCGTAGGTGGAGTTTTTGAAGTGGAAACTTATTTCGGCCTCCTGGGAAATTTTGGATGGTGTAAAATTCGTTGGTTCGCATCATATTCGCATCGACACACTATTGTTGCGTATTTTGTCATTGATATTGGTGATTTTAAAAATTTGATATGATTTTTGTAAAACTGTATGACAAATTTCTAGCTTTTCAATGGTATTTTTGTTGTATTTTAAAATTAAAATTCTGTAAATTTTATTAAAAACTTAACTACTCGAAATTATTGCTTAATCGCGTCGGGGCCAAGGTGACGCCCTGGAAGTACCGAGGCTTTGACTGGCTAAAAGCAGAGAGTCGCTTATAATTCAGAATAACACATAGGCTATAAATTATAAAGATATTGTGTGAATTGTCCAAAATATAAGTGTCAACTAAGTAGGAAAAAATTCAGCCATCAGCGAGATATTCTGGTGTAAAATAAATAACTCATTGCTAATTCCTTTTGGCCGTGCGGGCGAAGCCGCGTTTAACAGCTAGTATCAGTTCTCAGATGCTTTTGACTGCAGGTTCCAAGGACGAATCTTTAAATTGTCTAAGTATACTTCCAGACTGAGACTAAATTAAGGCCTCGAATTTTAAATTGCAATGTAACAAACAAAAGGTTTGGAAACGCCGACGATCTGATCTGATTTTAGATAATTTTTCAATTAAATAATTCAATTTTTTAATTAAATTTCAACATAAAAAGTTTACCACGTAGATTTTTACAAGTAACTAACAAAAAATATATATAGTTAACTAAGAGTTTCCTTATTAGATGTTTTAATCTCACCTACGGACGGGGTGTAACAGATTTCGTTAGTTATTTATATTTTGCTTTTGATTATTTGCCCATCTTCACCTGTAAAGAAAAAGCTGGTCTATTTCTTTTCAATATATTTTAAAAAATAAATTCTCACGTTACAAACCGTAGGCATTTTAAATACTTTATATCTATTAAACTAAGGAATCTGCATCTTGATATTTTACACCAGATACCTACCTTTTAAATGAATAGCTTGAAGAGAATTCACAGACAGTTTAGAATATTACATTCCGAATAATAAGGTGAACTCTATGTAAGACACTGAGAATACTGCAAAGCTTTGAATATTATCATATTACGGCTGAAGCCTACAATGTGAGACCGGTACTAGCCTACATTAAATCGAACTGTCCATCTGGTCATGCTGCCCTACTTAAACTACCTCAATGCGAATGTGGGGCAGTTAAATAAGTCTTGTTATATTTTAAATACTTTAAAATGCGTAATCGTCTTACCGGTCGTTTAAAACACCTGCCCACATCACCTTAATATAGAAGCGAATTAAGACGTCGCGCTAAAGGCCATTCGAGCTGGGTGGCAGATCATTTAATTACTTTTAACATTTTATCGTATATTTTATATAAAACATAGCCAAAATCGTTTACAACATGATTCACATGTATGCCGACCCCAACAAGGTGTAATAAGGGCAGAAGGATTATGATCATAATTTAATTGTATATTTTATAAACAATGACTTATGGATGTTCCAAGATAAAGTATCGGTATAATTTTTTTAAATTAAATTTAGACTTGTTTCAATCTCTTGAACGGCAAAAACAACCACTGCCCTGAAAGTTCATTACTTTAGGCCCGTCAGAGAAAACTGCTGCCGTGTTGAATCTATCAAAACAAATATTTGCATAAATCAGCAGGAAGTGCTGAAAAGAGTCATCTTCAAATTATTATGATACATTGGATGCATACTTTTTATATCTTTATAATCTTTGAAATTTTTTCGTTCTAAAAATTTTTTCGTTCACTACCTTTAATTTCTATTATCATCATATTAACTATGCATGTAGTTTACCTTTATGTGATTGTTACACTTATTCTATTTATTTAACTTGTAGGTATGTTGTTTCAGTAAGCAATTGTTGATAAATCTTGTCAAATAAATAAACTAAAATAGGTTCTTCTCAATTAGTATTATCATAACAAAGTCCATCTATCAATATGAATCTGCGTTACAGTGTATAATTGAATACTTAAATATGCAGAAAGCTCTTTAAGTGACAACTTTGAGTCAAAGTTTCGCGATTAAATCTTAAAAACCAAAAATGTGCGCTCGCGAAATTTCGTCCGCAAATATTGATCAACGGCGTGCGCGAATAGGTGCGCGTGGCTGCGCCCGCCTGGGCCGCGTCGGCCTCGCCGTCCCGCCACCGGACAGGGTGACAACCCGTAATAACTTTCCCGTCACCACCGACGTGCCTCCTAAGAATTAACTTTGTTTGCGTACGACTACGCTCTCCGTCTCCGGCTCGCTCGAAGTAAACAGCTGTCGTGATAACGACTTCGCCGCGCACGTCAAATGTGCCCGTGTCAAGTGGAAGTGTTGAACCGAGTGTTTTCTTTTAATTCGCTCCCCATTCGCGTTCACACGTAATTCGGGTGAACAATAACGCCGCGAGGATTCACAGCGGACGCATCGCGATCGCGCGCTGACGTCAGCAACTGGAATAGACGCATATTAGCGGCGCGTGAAATTAAAGGATAAACAAATGAGGTCCGCGGCGGGCGGCACAATAATGGAACAGCAGTCGCCGTCAAGAGCTGTCAAGCGGCAGACACGGGCGTGACCCCGCGGGCACGCGCCCGACGTGACCGCGTAACTGGGGCATCGATACGCTCGACCCACTTACCCGGTTCCGGGGCGGCTGCGGCGGCGGCCGGTGCATTCGGGGCGAGGGAGCCGCCGCGATGTCGGGCAAGTCTTGCGCGTCGGGCAGCGTTCGCTCCGTGGTGGGCTCGGTGCGGCTGGGCGCCGCCACGGCCTCCTCCACCGGCCACGAGGTCGTGCTCGACGCGCTGTACGAGCGCAAGCGCGACAACAAGAGCGTCCGCGTGCTCACCGTCATCGTCTACGTGTTCTGCGTGTCGCTGGCGGCGATCATGCTCTCGCTGTACTACGTGTTCTTCTGGGAGCCGAAGGACGCGCAGTACGCGCAGCGCAAGGTGTCTCACACTGTCACGCGGCAAACCAGCACCACACCAATGTCCACTTGCTTAGTGCCCGACACCGGTAGGTCACAACACCGACACCGCTTCTCTCTCCCACCGCAAACTGTAAAATTGACTTTACAGCGACGGATCGTCGAGAGGACGCTGAATTAGACTCCTCTCGAAGTTGCTGACGGTGAAAGCTATAGGTTTATAGCTAATTCCAACTCTCACTAACACTAGCACGCATTCAATAGGGTGAAATACGCAAATCCGAAAACAGATCGCCGAAATCTGATTTGTTTCCTGACAATCTAAATGACTCATCTGACCTCACATCCGACATTAATCTCGCTAGCACAATATATCGCTTCTCAAGCACTGTTTCCGATGTTTCCGTTAAAATAGGCAATGGTGGTTGTGTACTTTTTCTAAAAATGAAAATAAAGACAATACAAGTAGAAATTATGCCACAATATTTTCAAACAAAATATTAATAACGAACTCAAAATTTGCCCGTTTGTGAATCTCTATACTACATTACATACTTATTGTATAAATTTCCATTTGTTGGATCACCCGGTAAAATTGGCACCCCAAAGTGCTTCTCAAAGTGAACCAAAGATATTCAATATATCTCAAAATACATAATCAATGGATAGTATAGTACATAATCATAACATGTATAACATTTACCACATTAGTATATTATTAGCTGATTAGGCAGGGCCGTTTTTTTAGTCAAAGGACTAAAACAATCAAGAAATTGCATGTTACAAACCAATCCTCCTGCATATCGGTCATCTATAAATAGTTATTATGTAATACACGCTTATATGCCAATTCGCACAGGAAGTCTACATGTCGTTCAAATCAAAGATATGAATTAGAAAGAGATTACACGCATATAACGTTTAACGACACGAATTATGCCCCCGAAATAAACTATATCTGAGATTAAGTTAAAGTTCAACTACTCTATATTATAAAAATGTCAAAGCAATATTTTATTTCTTAACCAGTGTATACGCTGAGGTTAACTAATTACGAATTTTTGTTGCAGGTATTTTTGTAATTCAAAATTAAAAACATAAGTACTAAGTCCATGTGACAATTTTGTTATCGAGCCAAAATTTTCAAAGCCTTAGTGATGATTACTAAACAATTTTTATGTGTAGACTCATAAAATTTTACGACACAATTACATTCATGATTATAAAGACATTACTCGATAGTAAAACTGGAAAGAAAGCTTTGAAATTTCATTGAAGACTGAACGGCGTTTAGTCTTATTGCTGTTTTATTTTATACCTATTTTTAAACTTCAAAAAGAATATTGTCTTGTCAATATGTGGATAATGTTTAAACTACATGAATAATCAAGTATCGTTTATAATTATAGTTAAAAAGTAAACTTTTATGAATATATTTCATATGTAATACTAGCGTACCCGGCAAACGTTATTTTGCCAAATAAATTGTTTGTAGGATAGAAAAAAAATTGTTATAAATCTATTCTTATACCTAATGAATAAACATATAAAATTTAATAAAAATCGGTCAAGCCGTTTCGGGGGGAGCATAAAAACTAAAACTGTGACACAAGAATTTTATATATTAAGATAGATTTTATATATTAAGAAGTGAAAGTTTAAGCGTATAATCGCTTAAACTTTCACTTGGGAACAATTTAACTTTAATTGTACGGGTTTAAAAACATGCACTTTCTGGAGGTCTGCAAAAAGTTGTTTGTTTAAGTAAAAAAAAAAACTGTTTGAGAAAATATAGAATTCTTTTAGTGATTTTGATTACAAAAACATTTACGTCCCTACTCCCTAACTATGAAATTTACAGTTATTATGAAAAACGAATTGTTTATTATGCTAGTAAGAGATTTTGTAGAATTTTGCAAATCGTGTTTGAAAAACTACCAATGTCCGTATTAATTAGCTGCTTGGACCTGAGTAACAGATTTATAAATATAGGATAAAAAAATAAATACCATTATGTATGAACTAATCGTACGTTATTGTAGAAAAAGACTATTGTTTATATTTATTATATTCGCGTAATATAATGAAAAGCCGCTATTAAATCCGTAAAGATTCATGAACATTCACAAGAAAAGCTTCAATAATGAAGATCATCATAAAATCAACATCATTAAAGTTTGTCATTAGTCCATGCTGTACATAGAGGCTTTCTCTAAGGATTGCCAAAAAGCGAAAATATGAGCCACCTCACATTTCCCGTCTTAACTCCATCTTATAAAAGACCGTTTTAGGGTTACGTACCGAAAGGGTAAAACAGGACCCTATTACTTAGACTCCGCTGTCTGCCTGTCTGTCGGTCTGTCCGTCTGTCACCAGGCTGTATCTCATGAACAGTGATAGTTAGACAGTTGAAAATTTCACAGATGATGTATTTATGTTGCCACTATAACATCAAATACTAAAAAATTGAATAAAAAATAATTGAAGTGGGGCTTCCATACAACAGACATGATTTTTTGCCGTTTTTATAAATAATGGTATGGAACCCTTCGTACTGTTATGTACAATTTACAGTATTGAGTATTTGCGTAGGTCAGCAATTTAGAATTGTATAAAAACAGTTTCGATGCCCAAGTACGGCAGTCAACATCAAGCAGTCAAACTCTATACTCGGTCCGATAACAATCATTTTTATAACGTAGTTGTGTGTCAGAATTAAAGTTCCTTACAGCCAATAAAAAGTGTTTTTTTTAAAAGGACCCACAGAGCGCCATCCTTACAGTACGCGATTCTGACTCGCATTTTTCTCTTATTATAAATGATCTACGATTATCTGACAGAAGGCGCCTCTTAATACCTTCCTTCACTAACTTATCAGTTCTGCAAAAGTTGTATCGATATCATTGTTGTGGGTTCTTTTTTGCAGGAACCGAAAGTAGCCATTTCCAGTTTAGAGCTAAATGAGAATATATAAATTTGATCTCAATATTTCTTCGAGCTACGAAATACTACGCGAAAAGTATCTTATAAAACGAAGGAACTATTATGAAAGCGTTGTTTCTCTAATGCAAATATCATTACTTTTATACAGCGTATAAAATTATATTGAATATTTTACTTAGATTGTATATGTATTGGGTACTTTTTTATTATTGAATTAATTCCGAAAAACATTAACTTGTAATAAAATAAAATATAGGATATCATTAATTGTACAAGGTATGCTTTGACTTTCGCCATGCAGACGTTCAATATTATTATTCGCGTTTTATGTGATATATGTCCTAATTACAAAATGTGTTTTAAATAATAATTCTTGAATAGGTATTAAAATATTCTTTGAATTTTAATACAGATAAGTGAAAGTATAAAGAGATTTTACCTGAATGAAACCGGGATGAGTGTGCTATTAAGAAATAACATTAAATATGAAAGCCTTATTGCAAGTATTCACGGATATGTTCTTTGATCTCTACCTAAAATGTCACTAAAAAGAGTTGAACGCGTTACATTATATTTCTACATAATTCTGGTCGGCCAATAGTGTGGTCGAAAATTGAACACGTAAGCCGTACAAATGTAAAGATCCGCGTGAAGGTGTTAATGCAATGCTACAGACTTTTTCTTTGATTATGCAACGTGTTTATAAAAAAAAAGATACCATGAAAGTGCGTCGTTGTTTCCTGAAATGAGGCTTCACTTTCATAAGCAAGAAGGTCTTGTTCATACGACCAACACGCAAATGGTGTTATAATAATCTTATCAAACTTAGGAATCATATTTAATCCGTTTTAAATGTACGTAGTGTCGCTTTAGTGTCGTTTTCTCCACATATTATGTGTGTATAACCTACCTACTTACAATATTTTGTCATGGTATAAACAAAGTTTTTTCTTAAAAGGCTTAAATCGTTACGGCTTGATAAAAAATATGATTTAATAGTTTCGTATACGACTACAAGCTCAGTGAATTCCGTAAAAAAAAGTAGGTACCTTGGTGTGGATTTGACGTCCAGATTTTTCACCATTTAATACTTACATATCGTTGTAAAAAGCGGTGTGTGAGCCGCACATAAGTGCGGGGCGAGTGCTCGGCCAGTCGGCAGCAGCAATAACTCTAAATATAGCTGTAGGTAGTTACAATAACCAGCACTCGGCAATTCACTGATCATGTTTATAAGATATAAATCACGCAGTGATTTCGGTCGAATTGCCGAGAATAGCGCGCTTGCCTGTACTTACGGAAGCCGCAACTGCAAAGCCATTATTGCCGGTGTAAATTTTTGAAAAACACAAAACTCTTATGAGAATTAATAGTGAAGATTTGCAAATTTAATTTTGATGATCTTCGATCACTACTCTGAAAGTTTTAGACCGATGCTCAATTGTTGTTTTTACCACGCGACTACGTCTTCGTAAAATAGGCTGAACGCGTAACTTTCTAACAGAAACACAGATATACATAAAATATGTATATAAATTATAGCCTATGTTTTATTTTGATGTATAAGCTATATTATTGTAAAGTTTCATTAAAATCCATTCAGTAATATTTGCGTGAAAGAGTAACAAACATCCATCCATACATACAAACTGTCGCCTTTATAATATTAGTAAGGATTTCACAGTGACGGATCTAAATTAACTATTGTAGTCGACATAAAAGGCGAAATTATTTGACATTTTCACATTAAATTTGACGCCAAAAATTTGATCTCAATATTTCTTCGAGCTACGAAATACTACGCGAAAAGTATCTTATAAAACGAAGGACCTAATATGAAAGCTTTGCAAATGCATTCTTTAATGCAAATATCATTAATTTTATACAGCGTATAAAATTATATTGAATATTTTTACTTAGATTCTATATGTGGGTACTATTGGGTACTTTTTTATTATTGAATTCATTCCCAAAAACATTAACTTGTAATAAAATAAAATATAGGATATCATTAATTGTACAATTGACTCGTACAGAGTCAATCGAAAATTGTTGTGCCTATAGCTTGACTAGAAAAATTATAAATCATATTTGGCGATCAAAGACCAGGGGTTTTATTACTCAGGACAGATTCGAACGAGGTTCAATTTAAACCGATTAAGATGAATTTCATTTTATCAAAATAAAAATCAGATTTCAATTACGATGTTAGAATGTAGGTAACTGATATACTTT